GTAGGTTGGTATTAACTGAGGATTAGAAAAAGCAAAAAAGCTAAATACATTCCTTCTGAATATATTAATTAAGTTTTATTGAACTGATTCTAATGATTTCATACGTGTAAGGAAGTTATGATGTTGCTATTTTTAGAAGATCATTCGGAACCCATTATAAAATAGGAAAACTATTTTCATACGGTATTCATTATGTACCAGATAAAAAAGGTATGGAGCTATTCATAAATTTAGTGACTTTTTCTTAACCATTTTCTTTAAGAACGGATAAACACCTCCGAGAATGATCAATTCATTTGATTTCTTTGAAGGATTTAGGCTAATTAACATGTATTGTTTACCTCATCATTTGTCAGTTTCCTTTAAATCATTGTTCAAGTATTAGATTAGTTGAGAATAAGTTGTAAAATTTGGTAACACTCATCGTCCATTCAATAGATATAGTAAGTCGGAATGTTAGAATGTGACTTTTCTGAAGCTAATATCTTGCAACAAATGATTCAATATATTAATTGTTTACATAATACAATCGATCGGTTAGTAAATTATAGAACCTGACGACGAAGTTGATTCGTTTGCATATTGATTTGATGATTCTATGAAAATTTATGATTATGACTACTGATACTACTACTACCGAAAAATGGCAATTCATGCAAATGAAAACTGACCGAAATTGAAATACAATCGTTTAATTTGTTTGACATTGAACAATAATGACAAATTTTTAATGACATACATTATAGATGTATAAACAGCTTTACAAATATGAAATGAAATTTTTACAAGTTATTAGTTTCATTTAATTGTTTTATGCAAACAATAAAATTAATTTGTTTGAATAATTAATAAAAATGTTATATATATATCAGTATAGGGTTGTGGAGTTTGTTGAGTTTTTGATTGAGATCATCAATTGTTCAATATTAGATTATCATTGAGATCCTGGAAGTACTGGAAGATCGTTTAGTCTTAATATGAGACTTCTCAGCAATGCATATTCACCTTCCAATACGCGAGACTCGAACTTACAGTTGATTGATCACTGGGTGGTGATCAATATCATGTGTGTCAAGTCCTTATTAGTGCAGATCGAATGCTATCGACCATGTTGCAATGTGGCCACCAGTCTAGGTGACTCGACACTGCGTGCACTATGTTGAGATTAGAGGTCAGTCGCGGCCCGGACAGCTCAATGTTAGCGTCTCTGAATGTGAGTCTGGGTGACACGGGATCCAATCCATCAGGGATCACCAGTTTCCTCAAGATTACAGGTATGCCTTGCTGACAAGTGCCAAGTAGCGCGAAACCCGAATCCAGCGTTCCCTGTCGACTACCTCCAACCAGCACCTAAGACTCAAACTTAGCATGTTTGGTCTTGCAGTCTCAATTGGAACTCGACAACTCTACATTGATACTTATCATTTGCTTACTGGTGACTAGCTTCGAGAAGTAGTGTTTGGAGTTCTAATAATAAGCGGTGACCAGTGGAGCTAATCTAAATCGTATGTGAGGCAGTAACTCACTAAAGACAATGAAAGATAGTTACTCAATAGCGTGGATTGGTTGAAATTAGACGTTAACACCTTTGGATGACGGCTACGCGCTTTGAGGGTAAGCGTTAGAGAGTGAGACTGGAGGTTTTGGGTTCGAACTCCACATTAGGGACTGTGGATTATTTTATATTTTACTCTAGAATTTTGACTCATATTTATTAGGCTGTTCTTAATTTCGTCATTAATATCAAACTTTGTCTCAGAATTCGATGATCTTTCTTTTATAACTAATCTTTTAATTGTTTACGTTTCATTTTTATGGGTAGATCAAATCTCATAGGTAAGTTAGAAAAATGTCAGTCATTTAAAATTGTTTTTTGTAAGCAATCATGTTATGATGTGTATAATATTATCCCAACTTTATGGCTTAAACTCAGCATACACACAACCATGTCTGAATATACGCATTTAGATTTTGTAATGAATGGTAATTTTAAACTTTTGGGATGTCTCAGCCCGGATAGCTTAGTGCAAATGTCTTTGACTGTGAAACTGATTGAAATGGGATCGAATCCGTCAGGGAGCATCAGTTCCCTCCAGAATACAGGTACACTTTGCTGACTAGTTGCAAATAGCATGAAATCTCGTATTAGTGTTTCCTTTCAGCTGCCTTTAACCACCATCTTATATTTAAACATTGTACATGCGATGTCGATTCACTTGAACTAGTATTCACACTTCAACTTGGTTGATTGAATTCGATTAGCGATAAGGACTTCATATGTACTTTAGTGGTCACTACCCAGTGATAATCAGTTGTAAATTACCTTGGTAATACCAACTGTCAACTGGAAATGATATTATTCATTGTATATAAGGTAGCCCATAAAATTAAATATAATTATCCAGTAACCTATAGATAAATTTTCAAAGTACTCTTGTTTTCCAATTTTTCCTTAATATGATTAGTTTTCTTAGTTTGAAGAACAAATGAAGCGATTTCTCCCGCTCTAAATTTAATTTACCCGCTTTGATTATTACGTTGTGTATTTATTCACTAACTGAAGTGCTCTACGAGAAAAAAGTAATATAAGACGTACTACCGGAGAAGTTAGCCAACAAACTATAGAGGATCTTCTCCTTGGATAAGATCAGTACGTAGTGCAGCTTCATCACAGGGATCGATGGTGGTCTAACATTGATCGGTTCATGACTTCAATTAAAAATTTAATTTACATAAATTTTGACCTACTTTTCACACCTAAATATTTTTCTCGTTATCATGTTTATTCTTTTGGTAACTACTACTACTACGTCCGTCATCATGTAATGTCTCATTTATGATTGGTTATATAACCGTTCATTAACATACGCAATCGGTTCAAAATATTACACCAATGCAAATAAATATATTACTGTATATAAGATCTAAATATGAAAAAATGTTATTATCAGAAAGGGAATTTCGTGGACATTGTTGTAATTTTAATAGTTGAACTCATGAACCAATTAAACCTAGACCATCATGGAAACCTGAAAGCACTGAACGGCCGTTTCGTCCCACTGTGGAACTCTTCAGCAATACGCATCCACGATCCTGAACAAAGGATCAGAACCCAGGATCTATCGGTCTTGCGAGCGAAGATCTAATTAAAAACAAGGTCAGACTATAATTTATGGACGACATTTGAATGATGCCAAAGTGACCTTGAGAGTGTTTACCTACTTAATAGGGCTAAATGAAAGTTATATAGCAGTTTGAAGAATAATTACAATACAAAGAGGAAGAATGTACTCGATAGTTTTGTTGTTTTATTATATTTTCCTTGAAAAAGCTTGGACCAGATTGTTAGGCGAAACGTTGGATTTGCTTCAAATTCTTTCTCTGAAATTTTACAAATACATTCTTCTTCTTTAATGTCTCACATTAACTCAGCCCCCAAATATTGTAAAACTATTCGTTCAAATTTAGACGAAAGTTCTTATTTAATAAAGACAATAATTTACAGTTAATGTTAAGGATTAGAATTTAAATTTATGGTTTTTTCATCACAAACTGACATCAACTATAATGCTAACAAGATATTATGACGAATGGATGAATGAATTTTGCGCCAAAATCCTGTTATTTTAAATCTGATTGGTTCATTCATAAATTATAGTCTTTTCATATCGATTTTCTTTAATACATGAAATATATAGTAATATATGTATATACAAACTCAATTAGATTTTGTACATCATTATTAAAGAATAGAATTAAACATGAAGGAAATTATGTCAATTTTATCTTTATATCATCAATGTTCAATTATTCTATTTACTTCACTCACAAAAGTAAATTGAATCATTTTAAGGGAAGTTCATTCTCATGTGTAGATTAGTTGAATTATTTCATTCAATAAAATTCAGCTATTAACGTTATATTATTTCTTTTATATAATTACTTAATTCCGTTCTACTATTATTATTATTTGCCATGACATATTCATGGTATCTAGTAAATAGTATAATATTGAATATGATAATAAATCAGTCGAAATGTTCAATGTGTTTGTTAGTATAATGTAATAATGTATTAGAGTTTGCTAAATTTGTAGATCAGTGATTATTTAGATACTTCAATTTTTATATCAGAAGGTTTTTTTGTAGATATTATAATAGTAATTTCAATGATTGAATTCATAAGTCAATTAAAGTTAGATCACCATGGAGAACGTATAGGCGCTGGTCGTCCGTTTCGTCCTATTTTGAGACTCCACGATCCCACCTCCCCCGCGAGATTCGAACCCATAACCGTTGAATGTCGGCTCAGTGGTTCATTGGTTAAGCGCTTGCGGAGGGTATCGTGGATGCGCACTGCTGAGGAGTTCCATAGTAAGACGAAAAGGCTGTCCAGTGCTTCCAGGTTTTCCACAGTGGCCCTAGTACGGCCGAGAGTAGGGAGAGTCCGCTCTCCCTCTCGAGATACTCCCACATGGCCACGCGTATATCGCCTCTGCCAGAGAAGTCCTACTCACTGCCTTCTCGTGGCGAGGGTGTTTCTTACGAAAATGAGAGGACGAAAAGCGAATGTCCGGCGCCTTAACCGGATTTCAAACCAATGGTGCAAATGGGCTCCAGTATCCTGCGAGAACAAATGGTGTATGAAGCAATTGTTGGTCACCGGCTGCCATGGGACTGCATCTCCTTACGATGTTCCACTACCTTGTGGATCAGACCTTCAGGCCGAAGGCTCCGGGTGTGGCTCCCTAAGAAAACCACTCACTTCGGTTTGCGCACCCGGGCAGTATCACAGGCCTCACACATATCGAATGAGATTTGTGTGGTGCATATGTATTTGGTGCCTCCTTGTATCAATATGTATGTGTTAAAATAAATAAGTAAAATAAAACTTCAATTAACTCATGATCTCAACCATTGAAATTACTTCCATTTTTACTGATTTACAAATGATAAAAATTTCAATGATATTTCTTTATAATAAAAGAGATTCATTGTGTCATTGAAGAATAAAAAAAAGAAGTTTAGCAAAGAAAATTTTCTTTTCGATCATTTCATTTAATTAAGTTGCATAATCATATTTATAATTAATTTTAGTTGTTAAATTGGTGTTTTATAGTAAAATAGAAAGGTGTTAATTACTCAAAGAAATCTTAAAGTAGATATTGAAAAGTTAAGTGATAAACGGCTAATGAAGTATGTTTAAGTGGAGATAATTCTTCACTTGATAGCTGCTAATAACGAAATAAATTGTGATAATTGCTAACCTATAGTTGTGAAGATAATTCGAAAAGAGTAGAATTAATGAAATGAAAATAAAAATCATAGATTATGTAAGATCAGAAAGCACGTTAAGACCATGGAAGGTGAAGCTTGAAATATTAGAAAGAAATAGCCTCTACTGTATACAGGTTTTTCACTTTCATTCCTCTTGAACCGACTTTTCTTAATGTGTGTGATTTTGGAGGGGGCCTCTGTTGAAGTGGATTAGCCAAAATTGAGTATATGCTCAAAGATTGAACTTCTGAATGATTTCTGCAATCCTTTGGAGAGCTAGTCAAGATAATATTCAGAGGTGATTTTCGAAAGAGCTCATTTTGTGCGGCCAATATTACTACTCCATATGTTCAAATAAACTGTGTTTATAAGCTTACAATGCTAAATGTCAACACAAAATAAATGCACTAAAAAGTGATGTTTTTACAATTCGTTACTATAAAAAAGTAGCTGACAAGTTATTGTACATCGGTCATTAAAAACCGAGGCAAATCGTACATAATTTAGAATTTCTCATCAATCCTTGACAGAAACCACCATTAAACTAAATAGCTCGACATAAACTATATGAAAATAAAACAATAATCATATATTCAGTAGTCACTGACTTCAGGATAAATTCTGAGACGTTTATTATGGAGTAAACCAATTCAGAAGCTAACTAGCTGTTAAACACTTATAATGAGTGACTGAAATTTTAGGGTATAAGACGCTGATATTCAAATAAATAACTAATCGAATAAACTGTATTCATTGTGACATCTGAACGTCATGAGTTCAATAATATATATCCCTCAATATTACTACAATTTAGTTTGTTAAACAATAAAAGAAACCTTGAAATCAATGAAATTTTATATGTAAATATATATTACAAAATAGTATTTTCAATGCATAATATAATGTATATATAAGTTCACAAAAAGCGTAAAGAAACACAGAAACTATATATATATATATATTCTTGGTTCAAATGTAAACAAACTATTACCCTTACCTGTGTATGTGTGAAATGATATTTTTCTATGTGTTAGTGTATGTATATATATATAGAAGGGTTCTGATTGAATCTGCCAACTAAGTGATAGAAAGCAACAAAAATAAAATCAAAAAAAAAGAAAAAAGAATACCGAGGTGAATGAGATCAACAGGACTGGAAACAAAAATTTTGCAAAATAATTTAATCATGAAATGTTTCTCTTTTTTTATTTTTCTAAACAAAAAATACAATAAACCCTAGTGAATTATTGCGTATACTTTTTTGGATCAAACATTTGTGAAGATTGAAAATTAACACAAAACTGAGTGAAAACTAAAAGCGATACAGTGGAATGGGATTATATATATATATATCAACGGCATGTAGGATAGGCGTAATCCCGCTTTATAGAATCATATTACTCAAACGATATGTAGAGTAGAGTTACCTACATGAATTAACAAACGCATTAAATTGTATATATGAATAGAATTAGAGAATGGATAGACAAGAAGAAAAGGAAATGTGTTAAATCAATTAAAAGTTTGATAGTACACAAACTAAATGAAGATATACGTGAAAAGAATAATAGTTCAGTGTAGAGGTATGGAGAGTATCAGTTTTTTATTATTATTATTATTTGTTACATTGCACAATTGTTGTACACTAACAGAAAATTGAAGTAATATGTATATATATATGTATGAATGAATGAATTAATCAGTAGAAAAATATGTAAGTAATATTTGATCTTGATTTTTATGATTTTTATACGTCTCTATTGAATTTATGTTGCCCAAGTTCGACGAACTACACCATCTTCATGTTCACTGATATCACTATATGAAGCTGTTTCATGATCATGAATATATTCAATAAAATTATTAGTTTTTAATTGTGATGTAACAGTTAAACCACCCGATGCAAAACTACCAACACTTTCTTTACGTATTGTTGATAAATTACGTACAGTTGATGGTGGTTTACGCATAACACTTGGATGTAGTTTATACTTACGATCAAGCTAAAAGAATACAACATAAAATATGTGATATAAATAGCATTAAAATAAATTTCTAAATTAAATAATAATTAGTATTGACCAGTGAAGTTCAACCAGGTCTGTTGTGAGATAGCAACTCACTGAAGACAATCGTGGATACGTCGCTCAATTTCGTGGATTAGTTGAAATTAGACATTAACAGAGTTGGATGCCGGCTCAGTGCTCTGGTGGTTAAGTGCTCGCGCGCGAAACCAGTAGGTCCTGGATTCGAATCTCGCGGGATCGTGGATTCCCACTGCTGAGGAGTCCTGTAATAGGACGAAACGGCCGTCCAGTGCTTCTAGGTTCTCCATGGTGATCTAGCTTCAACTGACTCATGATCTTAACTATTAAAATTAATAATTATTTGTTGATTGGAAAATAGCCAGGAAAGAAACGCTGATGACTAGGTTTCGTATTCCTGATCAATGATTAGTTTATCGGAAATAAGAAGTATTTATAATCACAAAAACATAAACCATTCAATTTAGACCACAATCATAGAAATAAATCAATTTTCTTGACTTAAAGATACTACTAGAATAATAATTACACTGATAGAATTATAAACAAAGTAACTTTATTCAAATCATTATTTCTGTTAAAAACTTATTACAATTATAAATGTTAATACTTAGGTTATTCAATAAGGAAGATTAATTCAACGAGGATTTCTCTTTTCGATGAATTCATTTTCAAAGCTGTACAATCGCAAATATATATATATATATATATATACTTTGAAAATGAATTCGCCAAGAAGAGAACTCTTCGTTGAATTAATCTTTCCTATTTAATGTCTTAATGGGTGTATCCTATTTACTTAGGTTATTATTCTGATTGACTGAAAATTATAAATTTAAGCTTTATTTACAAAGTGAAAGTTGAAATTAAAAAGAAGCTTATCATGTGGGTATTTTTTTATGCAGTAACTAATTTATTTTACTCATAGAATGCATCGATTATTCAGAAATGGTCTGAGTTAGTATTAAGTGGATTATATATATAGAATTGTTCATAACCAATTAGCGCTAACAAAATTAAAATCAAAATTTTGAATATCAATTAGAAATCCATTAGCAATGTAATACAGTAACTAGTATACTGTGGTACATATATATGAAATAATAAATTCCAAGTTGAGTTCTTCCTACATTCTTACATAATGTTTGGTTAGTAAATCTTAAGAAAGAATCAATAATGTATTGTACTATGGTCGTGTAACAACAGTCCGGAAATGTAAAGTTATCGTTGTTATTATTATTGATCATAATAGCAATAAAAATCTTATACAAATTAAGAGTCATTTCAATACGTAATTACATGTTTTATAGGGCCAGTGATAAAGTTAGAGAAAAGCCAAATTTACCAAGGAAAATCAAGGTAAAATCCCATGATATTTAACAAAAATAATTAAATCGACAAGAATGAAGTGATCCTACTCAAACATATGCCTTTGTTTAAATTAAACCCCTTGGAAAGAGTACTTATTTTAAAAAAAAATCGAAATCATCCACCTGAGCAACAAATCTCTATCATAAATCATAAGTTCGTATATTAAATAAATGATATATATCAGTAGTTCAAAACATGAGTCAATTGAAGGTAGACCACCATGGAAAACCTATAAGCACTAGACGGCCGTTTCGTTCTATTGCGGGACTCCTCAGCAGTGTGCATCCACGATCCGCCCTCCGCGAGATTCCAACCAAGGACCTGTCGGTCTCGCGTGCGAGCGCTTAACCAATGGAGTTCAGCCAGGTCTGTTGTGACATCAACTCACTGAAGACAATGGTGTACGGTGGCGCAACTTCATGGATTGGGTGAAGTTAGACATTAACACCGTTGGATGCCGTCTCGCGCGCGAGACTGATAGGTCCTAGTTTCGAGTATCGCAAGGCGGGATCGTGGATGCGCACTACTGAGGAGTCTCATACTAGGATGAAACGGCCTTCTTGTGCTTCCAGTTTTTCCATGGCGGTCTAGCTTCAATCGATTCATGAGTTGAACTATTGAAATTTCTAAAAATCTCCACAAAACCCTTTCTAAATATAATATATATATTAAGAATGATACACAAATATATACAAGAAAGAGTTATTTTGTTACAATCACATTACACTGTTTCCATGGTCAAAGGAAAACAGAGCATCAAATTGTTTATTTTCATTATTTGATTTTCCAATTATTTTTTATTATAAACTTTATCCAGTAAGTAGTAAATTATTTTTTTTCAAATGGATTACGTAAATTCTTTTATTATTATGTAAACATGATGTTTTCATTTTCTTCAGATGTGAAACAAAAAAACACGATCTTTTGAAGCATGGTAGAAAATAAGAGGTAGAATTCTATGAAATGTTTATTCTATTACTGCCTTAATGGTTATTCAAGTTCAAAATTAAATATACATATTCATATAGTGATTAGCTTCAAGAGATATATCCTGGAGTTCTAGTGAGAAGTAGTGACCAGTAGAGTTCAACTGGGTCTGTTGTGTGATAGTAACTCACTGATGACAATGGTGGTGGTGGCGTTGCTCAATTTCATGGATTAGTTGAACTTAGACATTAACATTGTTGAATGCCGGCTCAATCTTCTGGAGGTTAAGCGTTCACGCGCTACACTGGTAGGTCCTGGTTTCGAGTCTCGCAAGGCGGGGTCGTGGATAAGCACTGCTGAGGATTTCTGTACTAGGTTGAAACGGCCTTCTAGTGCTTTAAGGCTTTTCATGGCGTTCTAGCTTTAATTGACTTATGAATTCAACTATTTGATTTAATTTATTTCATAACACAACATCAGATATTATTTAATTTCATATCTTACTTTACTTATACACTTTATTCAGATTTGTAATTTCGTTATGTTAGTTAATATATTTTCTTATTCAAATAATGAGTAACCAATAATAATAGTAATAATAATAATAAGGAAAATCTTTATACCTAGGAATACATAATTCAAGTTTATATTTATTATAGAAACTAGACTAAACTACTTCACCCATTACTTTGAAGTCTCAGCTGTGAAATTCGGTGAGACATTTTATGGAGAAAAATATTATTCCACCATAAATCTGTGGGTTTTATTATATGATGGACATATTTACGTACTTTGTGTAAAAATTATGTAATGTGCACATATGGAGAGTAATATCTTATAAGAATAAAACAGACTTCAATATCATGAACTCTATCACTATTTATTGAAGTTTATATTGAGTTGTAGCTATTAGAAAATAGCATAGCATGTTAATATTCATTCCATTTGTCTTACTGCTGATATTGTTGTTAAAGTATTATGATAATAAGTGATCTAATCCAAAACACAGTGTTTTCATCTTTTTGATATAAGGATTACAGTATTTGAATTTAATAAAAGCCATTTTGAATATATTGTACTTCGAATTGAACCAGACACATACTATGATGTTGTAATATGGAACTCTTCATCAGTGTTCACTTTTAAATAATTGAATTTGAATCTAGTGGTTCTCATCTCCAAACTCAGTTAATTAGCTTTATTACGCCAACAAATTCATTGATGATGTCAAGCTCTTTCGATATCATTATACTACACTGAACGGATTAATTGTCCAGTGGTTCTTACCTTTCACTACTTTACTAAATAAAGTGGGTGATTAAATTGAACAATCTTCACAAACCTCCCACCCTTGCTGTACGTGTGGTATTTAGGGCTCGTCAGCTAAACGTACCTGCACCACAGTGTTGATGTTCACGTTATAACTTGAACTCAACGACTATCGCTCAAACTTATAACTAGATGCTGTGTGGAGATGATCCACTCAGGTAGCAAATAGGCAACAAATACTGTTCAATTGGAGTTTTCCATATGAACAACAAGAAATTTCAAACCTTTAATAATGCATAATTGTACATTTGTTTCTCATTCTTTACTTATATAAATAACCAAATAGGTGTCAGTTAGAAAAACGTGCAAACAAACAAACCCTCATTTACATTAATTGATTACAATGTAAATACAAAAACGTTTAGATAGTATATCGAGGTGAACACCGAAGAGAAATATCAGCCAATACATTAGTGAAACTGAGATAAAAGGCAGATAAAGAGATGATTTATTTTCAACAGATCATCCTAAGAAAAATAACATGATTACTAGATTTACAATGTGTAACTAATTACGTAACTTGACTAACTGAAATGAATAACAAGATGGTGGATTGAAAATAAACAATTGAGGAGTTTTATTACGTAGGATAGAACAATAATAAGGGTGAAAGGACATTAGCGAAAACTATAAATTGCGTTGTACTATTTTTTCTAACTCTGAAATCAAGTTATTTTCTTCAAGCACTTAACAGTTAAGCAACTTAAATTACGATTGCTGGTTAACGGGTATCCGTATCTCCATATGAAATCAACCGTAGGGTTTTCAAATGTTTTAGGGAGTACACTAGATGCAAACCATCATGTTACTATCCGATAGTTCAAAACGTAGATAATTAACTCCGCAGGCCATGACTTTTCACCAGAATCTGCAAGACTCTTTATTGAAGTTAGTCATTTTTGTAAGTGCAGTTATTAATTGATTTAGTTTTCTCCAGGCAAAACAGAGCGTTTTAATATTTTATTCTTAGTCAATATACAAAAAGTGACTTTTTTCTCAAAGAGTAAGTTCACAATTCCTTTAAAGTATATGACGTTTCAAGAATAAATTCTTAAACAAAAATTTATACAAATGAAGTACGTATAATGTTATCGTCGCACTATCATATACACATATATGAATGGTAAGAAATTCCAAGGATTGCGTAATCCTGGCACAGACTATGTCATAAAATTACCACGATAGCAATAGCTGAATCCTGACCCATATCATCATTACTAATTTAAAAAAAGTTAAAAAGCATAACTTGAGGCAGTGGATAAACTTGGAAATTTTCTAGAGTAACAGTAAGCCCGAAAATTCAGTAAATCAGAAGCAGGATTCGTGATACGTGTGAGACAAATAAAACAATAAATTTGTGGGCGTAAATACAAAGTATATTTCTGATTGTCAGGACTCTATATGAAAAGATTTTCTATTAAATAAAACTCTGTTTCTTTTCCGTACTTAAGATTTAAGCTACGCGCATATTGCCAAAAATACTCATCTTAGAACCTATCTGCTAATAAGTCTCAAATACGAACAAGGAGCTGTTCAGTGCTTACTGTTTTTGGACGTTTGTCTTGGTTAACTTAATCAGTGATGTAAAACGTTTCCGAAATTAAAAGTCTTCACAGACGTTTGATCAAAATATAATCATTACTGAGGGGTATTTAATCTATGGTATTTCCAACTACATAGAATGAAATAAAGAAATTTTGGTAATTTATAAAAAAAATACTGACTTGTCTAGGATACTAGATTTGAATGCTTCTTTAAGCTCATGAATCCTATTTGAAGTAAACGACATCTTTACTTACATGGGTCTTCGGTATCGAGCATCTCGGTCATAAGCTTTACAGTATTCTTGAAATTAATGAGCTTTATAAAATGGAATTTATGGGTTTATTCATTATTATTTATGCTGCTGGAATTTAATGGTATCAGTAAGTATAACTGAGATCAACTTGACATTTTATTAGTTCATCATTGTTGACAATATATCAGTAAACGTGAAGATGATATTAAAACCAGAATAATCTTAGTTTGAGTACTATTGAAAACAGAAGGGCGTTTTCTTTTATGGTTTGAGACTACTAGTTGATGTATATCTCTAGACGTTACTAGGCGTTAAACCTAGAACCTTTAGGTCCAATAGAAATCACTTAACCATTAGATCACTAAGTTCGGAGGTGATAAACACGATCTGATGAGGAATCCCATATTTGAGCGAAACATTTGACCTGCACTCTCTCGTTTTCAGAAGCTCTTTAAATGAGATCAATCTATGATGAATATCAAGTTAAAATTAAATTACTTGATAATATAAGCAAATTATTTGTTTGAATGACCTGCTCAATTGGAAATCCTTAAATTACATCCTACCTAAGGTGTTAATAGAAAATTATGGCGTACAACAATTTAATTAAAATGATTAGACAATCTTGATATAGAGATAAATTCAAAGTTTTAAGTTCAACATTCTAGAAATATATTTTTAAAAGATTTTAATAAATGAATGGGTGAATAACAACTGGAAGGAGCTGCAGAGGATTGCCCAGGACGGAGTTGGATGGAGAATGCTGATGAGCGGCCTATGCTCCTTCACGAGGAGTAACAGGCGTAAGTCAGTAAGTAAGCAAGTTTTGACTATGATTGATATAGTTGTTTATCAATATTGAAAATGAATATAATAAAAGATAAACAAACCTCTAGAGGAGGGATATGATAGGAAAAATAATATTTTTAATTAGAACTTGGTTAGAAATTTTAAAATTAGTAATCATGAAGGAAAGTATTTAGCTGGTTAGTATAGTATATTTTTATTTGTATAATGTTTTGTTGTAAAAACTTATCAGTGGACTGATTCTGTTAGTGATTAATGTATGTGTAATAATTATCATGTCTCATTCCAAGTTTACTATTATCTAATCATATATTTTGTTTATTGCATACTTTCATAATCCATAATCACTTAATAAGTAGTATTACTGTCAAGTTTCATAGAGTGTAAAGGGCGAAATTGATTGGAATCTTCGTTCAAAATTATCGTCAGAGTTAAGCGTGTTGGCTTTAAAAGAAGTTGGATTAGAAATGTATACATTCCAGAGACTAGGGTATTCAATCAATAAAGCTTGGTTTTTATAATGAAACTTGTTGTGCCCAATTATCAATTTTACGCTGATCCTAGCCTATCATAATTCTTCTTTATGTTCATCAAGTGGAAAATTAACTTTCACGCTTCTTTGTTTTTATACTTTATTCTCAGTTAACTGATTCTACGACTATATAACATGTACTTAAGACCTGAATTTTTTGAATAACTTTTGATAACTTTTCAGCAATCCAGTACTTGCATGTGCAAACTAAGCATAAGTATGGTTGTACAACTTATGTAAGTGATATTGTCGAAAAGAAAATCCTCTTCACTGAACTGTCATAAAATGCTTTATTATTTTGGGTGAATTATTGTCTATGAATTGCGAATATTTCATTCAAAAGATGTTATTTCCTTGTTTATTGAGAACAATTAATGTACACTCTGGTCAAATGCCAATATTCTCCATTTGACAAAACACTAGTAACTTCTAAGCAAGTTAAGGAAGAGTTGAGCTGTAGATGTAGGGAATGGACGAACATAGACTTAAATGACGATAATATACTGACTGAAAATAAGGGATAGATAATACAAACATTTTATACATCGGTTATACTTTATAAAACCAAACAAAAGTAAAATAACTGAGCATACTTGATGTAAATATAACGCCAACCATTCCCATTTAGGCAATGCAAATTCGCGAATAAGGCCATAGATGAGAATAATGATCGGAAAGATAAGACCAACATAGTTGGCTACTGTAAAATCAGAAATTATATTCAATGAAACTAGAATTAAGACAACTGCAGCTTGAATAAGTGAGAAGACTAGTATATGCCTACTGGGAAGACCACGAACACATTCCCAATCTTCCCAGTGTTTTCGACGTTTCATTAAGGAGCATATCCTTAAAACAAATGTTAAATCTCTCAGTCCCATTACGCCCATGTATAAAAACATTCCATAGAGTGCAGCCAATGGAATGTTGCTTAATATAGATCCAAGGAATATTGAAAGCGCAACAAGGATTCCCACAAATACACCGCTAACTCGTTGCTCTACTGTTCCCACAATCCTACAATGAAAAATAAATTTTTATTAACATCCTATTATCGCTTGTATTACACGCTTCAAACAACACTAGCTATCAACGCAAAAAAATGTATTAACTGTGTTTTGACCACGAACAATTCTACAGTAACTTATGCAATCTCTTTACAGTGAATATTTGTCTTCTAATATAAAAGATAATTATATAAAACATTCATAGAATATTGTATTTATCCACAATGTAAGTAATACTGCATTTTATGTTATTCAAGGTAGTCTGGAAAAGCAACAGAAGAATTTCTATGGTTAGTTATGAATGTATTTATGTTTAAGAGCTATAGGGTTATACATAAACGAACATAGAAGTCAGAATATATTTTAGATGAATTTGGATTCAAGCAGAATAATTGAATTTCCCTTTTAAAAGAAAATCATGTCTTTTAAAAACCCAAACAGTACAGAACTACATACTAAATCAAGTAATCTATTTCGGACATTAAGGAACAACAGAGGAAACTCCAAAAACACCAGAGAATTTTTAGAAGCCTGGCACTCAGGTCAATCAGCAATCAACAAGGATATTGAAATCAATCCAATTTACCAACCAATCAGGAAAATCATGCACAAATATAGGAACAAAAATCAAACCAATGGGAGATACAACCAAAACAAAGAAGTAAACAATGACAAATTTAAGGTCAATAAGAACCAATCAACATCGAGGTGCACAGAATAAACTGTGAAACACAAATGGAGAAATTCGAACACTTCACTTCTATCTGAAGTTTGTGCTGATGATGTCGTTCAGAAGAACGATGAAAGCTCCACGACCAAACCATCCAGCTCAGAGAACAAAACTCCACCAAGAACAATTATCATATTTTGTAATGCGTTTTAGTAAGTACAATAATTATAAGGATTTTAAATAGTAACAAACATATAGAGATATATATCACATGTTCACGTCAATAACAAAGTATCGAAATAACGATTATTGTTAATCACTCATGCCTAGAGTTTGTTTGATTATATATAGTAGTGTCCAATTGGAAATTCAACTCATCAACAATATATTTATTTAATAGCTTATAAGCAACTGTTATTGTGGAGTATAATGTGTTTTAATGAAACTTCGATACGCTATCATCATGACGTGCAGAATATAAAAGCAACATGACCAGTGGAACAAAAATGTCTCGTTTTTTCCAACGTTTATAGTTGAATTTTACAAGATGATAGAATTATACGTAAAAATTAGACATAAAAGTAACATAATTACATAGGTCGTTGATGAAATTAATCAATTATTCTATTACATAATGACGGTATTGTTTCATAAATAGGGTGAGACAAGCTGAATGAATTGTTAATACAGCACAATGAACTATTGCTCTGAAAGGATATCTGATAATTCAATATTATGACCGCATAATTCTCAGTGATAAATACAAATGGCTTAATGTTCAATCCCTAGAGTTAGAGTTCGAAAACAGATAGTCCTCTAATATATCATTACTTGAAAAGTGGAAATCTTTTTTTGTTTATCCAAGCAGGAACTTGGAAATAACGAACAAGTATATCGTCTCACAAAGGGACAGAAGGAATGGGAACATTTTAAATATTTTTATACAATAAGCAGTGAAAAGTTTATAAATTTAAGACAAGAATATCAATGCATTATGCAGTTCTCAAGGTAAATAAAATCCTTTATTTATAAGAGTATATAATATCTTTTTCTAGGGCTATTATTTAACACTTGATAAAATATGTTTCCTCAATACCATAGAGAAGATTATTCATTATGCGCTGTTAACATATGGTTTCATAAGAATATAGTGACTTACTAGGAATTCATAGTATATTAAAATTAGTTTAATATCGATCATTAAAGAAAGAGCTATGGGATAAAGTAAGGAAAAAAAATTCCCAAGATAACCTTAATTAGACATGGTGAAACTCTTACAAGAAAAGTCATCAACGTGTTCACTCCGAAAGTCGCTTGTACTTACTTTAAATGGGAAAAAAATATTCAAGTTGTTAACGACTATGCTGTTATGCTTTTCACCTTATATAAGCCGTTATTTTTTTGAAATCTTCAAAATCTTCAGTTTAATGATATAACTAAATAATTTGACCATATTATTAATAATAAGGTATCTAGTTTTAGATTAATTGAAGTTTTTAAAACTATCCATTTTCATTATTTCACAGTGATGAATAATTAATGCACGGAAATATTATTAAACATCATGAAGCAAAGTAACACAATTAGATATGTATCACGGAAAGGTTTATCATCAATCCTAATAAAATTTAGGTGAAATAAAACTTCTTTTACGTATTATAATTCTTCATAAACATAAGAACTATTTCAGTAAATATTAAGGAAAGGATGCAATGCAATAGATTTTCTCTAAAGAACTATCTTTAAATTAATCTTCAACTTTGGTGAAATGCTTACAAATCTCTGCCAATCAATAGAATTACAAGAAGAGGCAAAAACATTCCTATAAAAGTTACTATCACGAATTAATATTAACAGGAAATAAAAATCTATGTTCAAACTGTACAAATTACCATAAATCAGTTCATAAAATGATTTACATTGGATCAATTCAACCATAAATATATTTAATAAACAATATCATTTTGTATATTTCACATACTTGTGAGGCATACCAGGTGCAGGACTTTGATCCATTTTGACTAGGGCAACAAGATTGCTAAGTGTTCTAACTGTTGTACCAGACATAAATGGCCAACCAGTTATTCCACTGATAATAGGGAAAATAATTTGTAACAATACCAAATCCATAACAAAAATATTCGGTTTCACAGCTTTATTTTTCATTGCTGTTAAGCTTTTTTTTTTATAGAAAAATAAAAAGAAGATCATACAGTTTAAAATGGAGTGTATAAGAAATAGAGAATATTATCATCAGGTATAATTGCACAGATTACTTAATGGGAAAAAAACTAGTAGACCACTGTTTATCGTTTCATTTCACCGTAAATTGTTGGTCATTTGAATAAAAAGTCAAACCACCATTATGATATTTGGAACGATAATAAACCAAACATTAGATCGGATGATTTTTCATATTTTTATGCAATACATAATCAAATATCATAGTTGATTATTTGTTAAATTCTTCATGTTCCAATTATCTCAAAAGGAATTAGTGTAAATGTAAGGAAGTAACAACTGTTATCAGAAATAGAAATAAGTTTAAATGCATTTTAATACATTGTTAAAAAGAATAGTATAAGTATTGTACTACTCAAGAATGGGTATTGGCATTTTACAGTTTAGTTGCTAATAAATGTGATCAGTAAATCAGAGAGTTTCGTTCAATTGTGTGGAGTCAATGAGTGACTAGCTTAAATACGAATTCTTGAAGTTTAGGTGACAAGCCATGATAAGTGGAGCCCAAACATATTGGATATAAGATAGGTGTTCCGGTCAACATTGGATAATTATCAAAGTAATATATAATGTGTCCTACTAATGTCCAAAGATGTAAGTAGTATGTATCATCAAACGAAAGTGAAATGTCTGTAGGCAGAAGGTTAAGAAGATCAAAGGAAAAAGAGCAAGAACAAAGAATGATTGGTGTGGAAGCAAAAGAACAATGAAGACTGAGGCGATTGACTGTAAAATGATAAAGGAACAGTCAAGTTTCAGACAATCGATTGATATTTTGCAAATTAGGTATTTACTGTATGGTTTTCGAATTTTACTAAGTTGCTCTCTTGTCCCTGCTTGCGTTCTTGTTCACTACATCACTTATTGACTGAATTTGGAGATATAAGCTATTCAAAGACTTTGTTGGCCTAATAGTGATGTGCTGAAATTCAACACATTATATATACATATATATTGGTAGGAAGATAGCAGTTATTCTAGAAACGAAAATATGTTCAATCAATGAATGACCGTTGTCTTAATTTCATCAATCATGGCCTCTCACTAGAACTTGAGCAACTCATTTTGAAGTCCATCTACATCTATACATCTAAATAACTATTGAAGGTATTTTGTCCAAATGGGCTTTTTGTTTTGTAAGTGGTTTTTATAACAGACTGATTTCAACTGAGATACCACTTAAAACCATGGTACTCTAAACAGCTATTTCTTTCTGCTATCAGAAGGTGCAAGTAGAACTTTCAGATAAGATCAATCTTTTTAAAGTACCATTTACAAATTAAACCAGTCTCTACAGAAACTCAACGTTTATACTGAATGCAGATGAACTGAAAAAGTAAAAGCTTATTTGAACAAAACAAGAAAAAAAATGGTTAAAATTATTAATAATCATTTATTTTTCGGAAATAAGGATTAAAATATTTGGCGGTAAAGTATAAGTAATAATTAATCTAGTCAAAAACACAAATTTTGTTTCATTCACTTGACAAATATCAATTGAACACATGTAAGAGGTCGTTGAAAAAATCACTAATCTTGTTTAAACAACTCTAACAGGATTCAATATCATTGATCATTTTAGGGGGGGGCGGAATGGATCATGTTGAATTGCTAGATAGACATACTTTAGTAACTAGAATTCAAGAATAATAAATAAATGTGTTTTGTTTCTTGTTAACAATATCTAAGTTTATTAATGGAAATATTGTTTCTGTTTTTCTGTATTTCAATAGGCATACACCGTACAAATCGATTTATGAAAATTTGCTACTCTGTTACAGAGAATTATCATTGAATCACTTGGTGAAATACTGAATTTTGATGAACGTCTATAGTTGACTGATCTACAGTTGCTTTCACAAACACTGTCACAAATTTATTTTAGTCCCTCTTTGTATAGAGTTAAAAAGTCCAGTTTAGCTTTGAGTTGTGTGATTTTACTATGAAATTGATGTTACATTGTTCGAAATTCAAAGAAAAATTACTGGTTTGTGCAACATGCCTCAAACCTTGAATTATTTTATGTTGCATCAATTACAGACTTCTTTTAGATGCATTTTAGAGATGAAAGTGAGTACTAATAGATAGCTACTCTACAGAATAGAAAACTGTGGATAACAGTAAAATAATGTTGGACTATTGTGATACCAATCAGTAGGGTGCTATACGATCTAGTCTAAAGTAATCAAATATACTTTCAATACGGACCATATATATATATTTCATTAAATTCAAATATTGTTCACACACATTGGCCATAGGTTTTTCGATAATCAAGAGGATGGTTTTCTTTTCATGAACTGCAGGAAAGCTACAAATATGTTTTAAAACTATTGAAACACTTGTTGTAACAGAAAGTAAAGGCTGAAAATCCTTCCACAGCATTTTTGTTGGACAGTACTGTCATTTATTTATTTCTTCTCCCTTTCGTGTATTTTAACCTTTATTCAGATCTCTTTTCAACCACATTTTGTGTCTTTCTGTCTTCCTCATCTGAGCTTTTTATTATGTGACTGATTGAAGACATACCTTTTGTTACCTAATTTTTTATTGCATGTTGCCGAGCTATCGACAATAAGGTCGTGTTTGACTAGGCTCAAGATCACGGTCTAGGTCAGTGTGTGACTGTTGACCTTTGACTGTCTGCCTGGAATGGTTCCTGGAATCCCTGAAGATAGGTATCTGATCCAATCTTGTTGGAAATATTTTTATTGATTCTCAGGTATTAAAATTTTTTGTATTAACTAGTTCTTTTGTTGTTTAGCACGCTAATTTGTGTTAGAGAAACCCTTGACTGTATAGCACAGGCTGTACCGTTTGAGGTATTCTGTATTTTTGATATAGTTTGTTCTATTTCCTTAATTAGAACCGTTTAATTTGAGCACAAAATTTGTGTTTTGACATAATTTAGTACGAGTAACTCAAAAACGCTTCGTACACTATACAGAAGAACGTAGTCTGGTCTAATCGAATAAATTTTGCTTCGTTAGTTCTGTGTTCAAACCAAATATTGGCATTTGATCGCTACACTTATTGGCATTTAATTTTATTAAAATCTACATTATAAAATAACGTATTCAATCATGATGATCCAATGTTTACAATAAAGAAAAGTCATTTTTGTTTTGCTAATGTGAAAATATAAAGTAATTGGTTTGTGATCAGGTCCTATGGAATGAAGAACAGTTGTGTTGTATTAGGATCGACCGATCCAACAAAACTTCAAACATGAAATCATTTAGTTCTCTTTCATTTGATGGTTTTACAGAGAACTTATGTAATTCATATCAAGAACTGTTGATAGTTCTTCTAAAATACTTTATTGAACTCTTGAAAAAGATTCAGTTTAATTTTAGTTTTATTCTTATTAAATGTAAATTATTTAACTGATGATCTTTGCATTTTAAGTTTTCTCTTTATTTTATTTTTCTTTATAAAATTATCATTTCATCAATTGTAACAAACAGTAAGTTTGTGAATTATACGTAAGCAACTAAATAAAGAATATAAGAATGATAGTCTGATAATGATATGATAAATTGTTTAAGAAATTACATGAAACATAGGTGTATCAAAATGAAAATTGAATTAAGACAACAACAACAACAACAAGGAGAAAAAGATATGTAACAGACATAAACACTTCTTTTTTATATACTTGTGTATCTTGTATGTAAAGTAGTATACACTGTCAAACTGTAGCTTACTACTTTTTTTAACTATCCACATGAGTAAACCACGTGAATCAAAATCAAAGTAAATAATAACCTTAACTACTATTGATTCATAGCATGACAAAGATGAGAAATTCATTTTATTCAGAAAATAAAATAAAAACTATGTGTATATTGTTAGATCTGTTTCACTCTAGGTACAATATATACAGAATTATACCCCAAATATTTCGAAATGAGGCAGAATTAAGAAATTTTTAAACTCTTATAGAAAATGAGATACTGAGGATGGTGAGCTGAATAATGTTTGTGACCACAGTTAAGCTATTCTTACCTAGTATATTATGCTCTATTAGACTAACTCACAATTTGGTTTTCATTTGTCATGGCTTATAATTAAAGTGAAATAAGAATATATTCTGATTTTAGAAAAAACTTTTGCTGCTATGATAAGTGGATGATAGAGAAAATACTTGGCTCAAGTAAATAGCATTGGTGATATTGTGTTTTCAGAGCTGTATGGTTTATATGTGAAACTTTAGTAATTGTTCTGGACAACTTCATTAGTATTTACTTGAAATATAAGTAGGCACTTTAGAGTGGTTCTGTGTATGTTGACCATGACATTGATTAGTTATTTTTAAACATCTAGTTATCTTTATATCCATCCGGATATCGAATGTTTGCTACGCTAACCTGATCTACGTTTACATGATTTTTTGTCAGTATCCTAACTGACAAAAAGTAGGAATCATTCTCAATATGCTTAGCAATTTTAGATTTCGACCAATGGAATAGAACTTTTTATATTGTGAATATTTTAACAGTAAATGTCTGTTATATTCTGATGAAAGTTTTAGAGAGTTAACTGAAGTATGTGCGTTCCTTCATATAGAGAGAACATTCTTTTCATTTATTCACCGTATTAGATGTGTTTATATCATTGTAGTAGGCATTGTGATAAGGAATATATGTTAGCTACAGAAAATCTATCAACGAACTGATGTAAAGTGTTAATTTAAAATGCTTCAGTGTAATAATGACGAAATCATGTAACTAAGTGCTCACAAATATATACTAACCTCAATAACAAGCAAAATGTTCTTCGTAGTTTTAGTTAACATAGCCTTTGTTTCTGTTAACTTGTATGTTGTAATTCATTTTCTGTAATTTCATTTTATATTATGTGTTCCTCGACTTCTTAATGAAAAGGTTTATTAATTATCATTCAAGAAACTGTTGGTTGATTGTATTTCATCTGAAAGAAGCTCTGCTTAACCCAAGTTTCCTGCTAGTTAACATTCATATCCAAGGAATGCTTAAAACACATAGGAAACTGAATCTGTTCATTGCACTCTGGCCCATCCCACTCAATCTTACTGTTGAGTTATGTGAGCTTTTAATGAACCCCTTCCATAAACATTGGATGATTATGCAGACTGATCAATATGTAGTGTTTATTTAATCATTAGTGCCTATGGAACTCCCGAGATTTCATGAACTGATAAGACTACTGGTCACAGTGAGAATGACCAGCAGAATTTGATCAGAAATTTAGATTAGAAAAAACACTATATTGTTCACTAATCAACAATCAACCAGTACAACAAGACACATTACTAAGATTGATAAAAAATTATTATATTTAATAATCATTCCAATACTTACCCATTTAAAGCTGCTTCTGTAAATATAATAATAGCCAAGGCCACTCCGATAGCTATTGAAGTTCCATGAATAAGTGTTGGTGCAGCTTTACTATAATCTTGTAAACGTGCAAAGTCCGGTGGATTAACCCATGTCGATGCATTAACTTGATTTGATGGTGGTATATTTACAGTAGGTAAATTATAACCTCTAAAGAATATTCTTTCCAATCCAGTAATAAGTAACATACCAAGAGGGACATTTAAAGCACCCAGAAGTTTTCTAATCTATATACATACGTATTAAATAGAATATGTTTTAAGAAAAAACTGTTCACAAATTAGTGTATTTTTGTTTATTTAAAAAAATATGTAAATTAGTGTAAATGTTTATAAATACCTTTTCATTTTTATTAGAACGGAACATAGATTGTTAATAAATACGAAGAGAGATTATAGTTTAATATCCTGACAGAAACAAGAAGTAATTAAATATCGATAAGTAATAGTAAAAGATTAATACAAATTAAAAATGATTTCAACGATGATCTATTGTTGAATTCAAGTGTCATCCAACACTAAGGTCAGAATTTTCAATACAAATGCCAAGACAGTTCTACTGTATGGGGCGGAAACTCGCAGAACTACGAAAGCCATCATCCAGAAGATACAATTGTTTATTAACAGTTGTCCATGCAAAATACTTTGGATTGGTTGGCCCTACATTATCAGCAACAACCTATTGCGGGAGAGAACAAACCAGATTCCAGTGGAGGAGGGGATCAGGAAGAATTGCTGAAAGTGGATAATCAGAAGGGGTTTGTGGAAATTTTTAGAAATTTTCACAGATTGAAATCATGAGTCAGTTGAAGCTAGACCACCATTCAAAACCTGGAAGCACTGTAGGGCCGTTTCGTCCTAGTATGGTATATGGTGGCGCAACTTCGTGGATTGGTTGAAGTTAGACATTAACACCGTTGGATGTCCGCTCAGTGGTCTAATGGTTAAGTGCTCGCGCGCGAAACCAGTAGGTCCTGTGTTAGAGCCCCGCGTAGTGCGGGATCGTGGATGCGCACTGCTGAGGAGTCCCATACTAGGACGAAACGGCCGTCCAGTGCTTCCAGGTTTTGAATGGTGGTCTAGCTTCAACTGACTCATGATTTCAATCTGTGAAAGTCGATAAGACACACACTGAGGAAAGCACCCAAATGTATCACACGGCAACCCGTCACGTGGAATCCTCAAGGCCAAAAGAGGAAGACCAAAAAACATATTACTCCGGGAATTGGAGATAGACGTGAGATAAATGAACAGCAATTAGACAGAACTGGAAAGGAAAGATCAGGACAGAGTAGATTGGAGAATGCTGGTTGGCGGCCTAACAGGAGTAAGTAAGTATTAGTGAACTAAGAAATCTTGAGTAGTTATTTAGATTTCATTGACATCACTTCAATAAAGTATAATAACAATGTTAAATAGGATGAAATATAAAACCATTTATTGCTTTAAGGGATATATATTCGATCTCACATAAGATGATAAAGTGTTTGATAATAATAAGATATGAATTAATAGAAAACAGATATCGAGTACTCTTTGATTAACAATAGTTATCTAGTTGATATTTTATAAGATGATTAACTTTAGAAACGTTTTTTGGTCTTAAAATTGATTGTTTTAACGAATTATATATAAGTCACTAAATGAATAATTGATGATTGAATGAATGAATAAGCTATTGCCAAAAATCTCATTTTTTTTAATTTAAGAAAGTAAACATTTTATTTTATCCATTCAAACATTTACATAATGAAATCTATATTTTGATTAGGTTTCATTCTGTTTTTTTAATAAATATTTATCTTCAGAAAGGGATTTTAGTGAAGATTTCTAGTAATTTTATAATTAAATTCATGTGTCAATTGAAGTTAGACCATTGTGAAAAACCTGGAAGCACTAGACGGCTGTTTCGTGCTAGTATGGAACTCCTCAGCAGTGCACATCCACGATCCCGCCCCCGCGAGATTCGAACACAGGACCTATCAGTCTCACATGCGAACGCTTAACCACTAGACCACTTAGCCGGCTACTGCGCCACCGTCCACCATTATCTTTAATGATTTACAGTTGAACTCCACTGGTCACTGCTTCTCACTAGAACTACAAGAAAGAACTTTTGAAGCCATTCACTGATGATTTTTGTAATTCTATAATTAAATTCATGATTTTAGTTTTTCTATGAGTTACGTGTTATATATATATCAAGTAGAAAAATGTACAAATAAATTGGTTGGCTAAAATATCATTGGTTACTGGTTAAGTTCAAAAGTTAGGCCTAACTGATAAAAACAACACAATTGCAGAATTATTTGGTACAGAAAAAATTGTTTATCAAAATGTGTTTCATTTTGAAGAAAAAACAGGACTAGTATTTCCATTTATACTCATCTCATTCTCAATTTTTTAAATGATGAGGCTTCTTATCATTTTAAGGAGGAACATGATTATAAATCCAGTTCTTTGGAGGAACTGATTCAACCACTTCATCCATTTTATGTGATGCAAGTTGATTTTTATCAGTAAATTTTTTCTAAGTGCTAGATTTCTATCAGCATCACTTTAACAACTACATTTGTTTGCAATATTAACGTTCAAAAGCAGACGTGATCGAATATCAACATTACAGTTATTGACTTTAATGAAATAGCTTCATGTTCTGCATTTAGCTAATTAGCATTTTGACATTGAAATTTATATCACTTTGTTATGAAAACTCTAATTTCAATTCTTAATCTTGACTCCTAACTCCGATTACTAATTTTTAACCCTATTTTGACCTTATAAAGTAACTGAAGTTTCTCAAAGCCATTCAAATGTTGTCCATAAATTAAACTTGCACCTTTAATTGTCACATTAATCAGTAGAGCACATGTTGTTTTTCTAATAGCTATGTACTGATTAAGATTAACATTGACAGTATGAACAGTTTAAGATAAGATACAGAACAGATTATATATTATGAAACTGATATAAAAGGAAAAAGATATCTAATACCTAAAAAGACTTACATTCCTTCTAAAGTAATTCCCACGTTTTAACTGAGCAAGTATTAAACAGAACTGGAGCATTATAAATGCTAAAAATAGTGTAACTCCAGCTACTGCTAATTTTTGATAATAAGCCATTCTGGATATTGGAGTGTTATCCACAGGTTTAGCAGGAATCAACTATAAATTTATAAAATAAATTTTGATAATTATTGTTAATATGATTATTAGTAATAAACATGATGGATTAAATAAATATGGAGAATATTTGCTTTCATTAAAAAGGAAGATATACTTAACTAATGTTTGTATTCATCGTAAGATCATCTAATTTCATGTATGAAAATTCATGAAACGTAGTGAGTTACTTATTTCATAAACCCAATCTCATGAGCTAAAACTCCTAATCATTTCTGTTAGGTGAATTAATCATGATTAAAAGTGATCTATATCTTGATGACTTATCTAACCAAACAACTGAATTTACTATTTAAGTCAATAAACGGTCACCCTGATCATACAATTACTAGCAATTAACAAAACTTTCGTTTTGCTATCTAGAGGTATTACCTTTGGCAAGCTATCAAACGTTCTGCAAATATATTTATACCAGTTGACTGATAAAGTGGGGACCAAACTATACAGTAATATTGGTCTAACTAAGATATAAATACCGAAGTTTGAATTCTGAACCATTGGATTCTAGTACAACGATCCTAGGGCCATATGCTAATGATATTACTCAATTGTTCAAGCTAAAGCAGTGGATGTTCAAGTATTCAAATTTTTAAGCCATTTCCATAATACTGTTTAATGCAAACAAACTTCTTAACGGAAAAATAGCTCGAGAATATTAAGGCAATGCTGGCTGAAGAATTTATGTAGTCGATTTAGTAAATAAATGATCCTGAAGAGATTAAATCTTCTAAGATCTGAGAATTCTCTGAAAATTAGTATGCTTGAACAAGAAACAAACAACTTTTCAATAATTCTTCACCCCGAAAATACATCATAAAGACCTATGATTCATAAAGTTGTGTTACTATTTCTTACTTCAGACATGCAAGCTTGCCTTTACTAGGTTAGCGATTTACTCTCAATGGTAACTTACACAACATTTATTGTAGATACAACTAGAATCTAGCAGAAATATGTATTGCGTCATGTAAAGTATTGGAGATTAAAATATCTGTATACCATCAGCAGAGATATATGACGATTACTAGTTGACTTGTCGGCTGAATGTACCTCCATCTCAAAGTCGATGTTCACTCCCTGACTCAAAATCAGGACCATCCATTTCAAATGCCATTGCCTTATTAGCTCAGCTACTGAGTCCAGGCAGCCAATAGTTTATGCAATCGGGTGAAGTTTAATTCATTTTTGTATTAGTTGCTTGAATCTTCTCATTGACGTTTAGGACCTAAATTGGTCAGTCTCTTATTGGCATACGTGCATCCTGTGCGGAATGCACAAAACACACTTCCTGGATGCCACAGCTAGCCACCATCTATCTCTACTTATAATACTTGTGATTTAACGTAATAATATCGAAAAATTCCTCACTGTATACACATATGCTAATTAATTTCAAACAACCAATACGAAAATCAGTCTGTATACTATGTTCTTTCCTGATCTCAAGTTGCTATTGTTGACCAGACATACCATATATATCATATATAAATTAATTTCATATTACTTATTTTCATTGTAATATTCAGTTGTATGCAGACTGAATTTATTAACAACGGTATAACAGTATCAAATACACTGTTATAACTGTAATCTATAGACCTACATTAATATTGTCCAAGAGTTCGATCACACAAAGAAAAGTATAAGGGAACCAGTGATAGTTAACTGTCTATTAATTTCTTTGTCAGTTGAATGTAATTCTACTCGGTTAGTAAGTTGACCGATATAATGAAGACGTATTGTTTGAACCCAATTATATTCACTAGAAAAATGTAAATTCTTGTTAATCAAACAGTATAAATTTCGAGGTAGTGGAGATTTGTTGTTCAGAATGATGATTTTTGTTGGGTTGAATTCTTTGGGTCAGATGCTTCAATTCTGAAGCTCTAATTGTCTTTCTTGACAAAATCATCAGTAGTAAAAAGTTCAGATATAAGTGAGCAATAAGAATTTCCCGACACATTTACAGAAAGTTTATGTTGATGATATTGTTTAGCAAGACAGCTAAACTAATCATTCCAGCGACCATAGCTCCCCTAAAAGCCCCATAGATTTTATCTCTATGAAGAAGAAGTGCTAGTCGTAAGATGACCGCTTTAAATATGTAGGTTGAGACCATCGCAAAAATATTGTAAAACTTATGTTACCAGTCCCATAGGAGGCTAAACGACCATTAATATATACAATTTTCAATTAAACTGTCACCCTGATCATACAATTGTTAGCAATTAGCAAAACTTTCGTTTTGCTATCTAGAGATATTACCTTTTGTTTCATATCAAAGGATCAAACAAGTTAAAAGGGTAAATTCTTCTTTATTATAAAGGCAACTGTTTCCTAAAATTGGTGAAATGTCTCTTTTAAAATTAGCTGTGTTTTTAATAATGTGTGGTCTTTGAGCAAACAAAAAAATTACGTGAAGTTAAATGAAGTTAAAACATTTAAAGTGATCAATAATCTTTAGAACATTTCAAATAGAATAATGGGTAGCAGTATCAAACTAGTTGTCGTCCAAACATATATTCTAAGATGAACGTAGTTAATACAAAAAAATTCCTATCATTTTTCGTATCGCTTAATTGAAGTAGTATAAAATAACTCATAGAAGTTTATTTTATAGAAAACACTTTATACGGTGTTGGTTTACAGATAAATGATAGCTTACACTAGTTGAATTGGTGATATGATTTATATACTGTTATAAGGCATTCTGTGTTTAACATCAATTGATTATTATACAACCGGAAAACAAAGAACTGAGAAAAATATGCTATTTTAATGGAGTACATTTGTTGTGTCTGCTACTGATGTCGACAGATATAAGTAGTATGTATCATAAATCGAAAGTGAAATACCTGATAGTAAAAGGTTAAGAAGATCGAAGTAGAGAGAACGAGAACAGAGAATGATTGTTATGGAAATGAAGGAACAGTGAAGTATGAGATGATTGATTGACATTTTGTAAATTAAATATTTACTGTATGGTTCTCAGATTTTACTAAGACATCCTGTAACTTCGTATTTAAATACATTCGATTGTCCCCGCTTGTGTTCTCGTCCATTACACATTTGAATTGTTCTGTTTGGCAAGCTATCAGACGTTCTGCAAATATATTTATACCAGTCGACTAATAAAATGGGGACCAAAGTATACAGTATTATTGGTGTAACAAGGATATAAATACCATTGGATTCTAGCACAATGATCCTAGGGCGAAAGTCATTCAGCGATGCTTTAAGGTCCTGAGCTCCTTTTCATACGGGATCGTGCCTGAGCTATTCTGAAGGATTCTATACTAGAACAAAACTACTAGCCTGTATAAAATGTAGACAATTTCTACATCAATTAACAATCATTTGAAATAATTACAAAATAAAAATGAAAAACAAAGAATCAAACTTGTATCAAACCACTTACTAAAAACATTGTAAATAATGCTTTAAGTAAAAAGAAAAATCCAATAAATGAATTATATACTTCTTCTACTGATCTTCTTATATGTTTGGCTATCCCAGACATATTACAACCAACAAATATGAAACCAAATATAGAACAATAAAAAGCACTCCAAAATCTTAATTGTTTAAAATCGACACCTGTACTCCTTGAAACCTGGAAAGTAAGAAGGAAACAACAACAACAGAAAGGGAAATAGGATTAAGAGCATTGATAAAAGATAAGGAAACAAATGAAATTCAATTAACTAATGTTATCCTACTAATGTAAATGTGTATGCGCTGATCAGTTAAATTTTACTTCATAAGCTTCAACAATGATATAAACGGTAACATTTAAATACCTTATAAACTGTACTTTGTTGACTGTATTTGATGTTTATAATACTGAGCAATGTTTTATTAATTAAACAAATGATAGATTACTTATTAATTAAATTACTGAATTATCACATAGAGACATAAATTCAGGTTTGTTTTATTTTACACAAATCACTAAACAACTAATTTGAAAATTAAAACACAATATATATGAATGAAGAATATCCTTTTCAATGAATTTCTCATCAGGTTCTACAATTCCCTCATATCCAAATTAATAATCCATAAAATTGAACAGATTTAAGTCAGAGTACATCATCATTTGGAAATTGTAATATGTGAATTGAGAATTGTTGTTTGTCATATATAAAATCAATTCAGATCGTTAATGTTGGGGCTGTTTAGTATAAAGTGGTAACTTGAATCAGTTTATAAGTGAAATGAAATTGTGCGATAAATAATGATCAGAATAAATATGGTCAACATGGGGTGTGAGAGAAACTAATGGAATAAAAATCTGAAGTTACGTAATATGTAGAATAATATGAATTAGGTCAGATATAGTAGATTTAGGGGTGGATATTGAATAAATTCCTCAAAAGGTTATCAAGTGTAAAGATAACGATAATAATAATAATAATAAGTATGGGACATAAAATGAACATTAATCAGATTAAGTCACCATACTATAAAATTATTTATTAACTAGTTGGCCCCAAAGTTGGCCAGGGTAAAAGGAGTGCCTGAACATACTTTTTTTTGGATGCAAAGCTCTGTCTTTTTTTTATCCGAATAGCAATTGCTTCGGCCGTCTGTAGGATTCGCAGTCTGACGGAATTAGGTAGACTGCTGTTAACACGATAGATTATCGCAAAAGATTGCTCTATGTTGGCTGTATGTTCTGTTTGAACTAGATGGTTTAAGATGGAGCTGTTAACAGTTTTGACAGCATCTTTACTTAACCACACGGGGAGGTGCTCACAAGCCCGAATGTACAAATTCCTAGAACATCTGCCAATATAACTTACTGCATAGGAGCAGTTGAATTGATAGATACAGAAGGAGGTGGCTATTCTAGGTAATTTATCTTCCGACCTCGTAGTGATTATTGATCGTGGGGAGAACATTAGTTTTAGTTTACCCGAAACTAATTTTAAAATTGTATACTTTTTGGTAGATTGTAGAATTTTTTTAAGATATTATTTTTAATTCAACTTTAAACAATGAAACTTAGATAGTAAGTTAATAGATCAATTTCTAATGTTAATGTTAATGAAACAGAAAATTAATTTATTATACATTTATAAATTGTGTAAATAGAATTTTTCATTTACATTAATTTGTCAATAATCAATATTCGATGTCATGTTTATTCATTCTTTTCTGTTTGTCAACTCTGTCACGATTCAAATGAATTAGTACTAATGTCTCCAATTGAATGACATAACCAACCAGTATATAAATAGGATTTCCTTACGGTGAATAACATATCCCATTATATAAAGATTATAAATGAAAAAGAAGCGAAGTTTCAAAATATTGTAAGCACTTAAATGTAAACACAAAACAGATTTAATTATTTAATAGTAAATATACGATGGGATTTTTTTACAATATGCTGTACTGATATGCTAGCCCATATGGCTTATTATAGCTTTTGGACAGGCCAACTCATTTATTGTTCTAAAGTCACGTGTTGACCTTGTTGAGTATTCGCTTATCAACTTTGAATGTTTTTATGTATGCCGTATGTGTGTGCATTGTTTATCCTATTCATCACATATTTGTAACTTGTTTTCGTTTGATTATAAATATCGATTAAGGCTTGATTAAAGCGAGTTGGCTCACATATCTTCTCCACCGCGCATCATTTTGTTTTGCTTCGTTTCTTTGATCGTTTGTCTGGATCAACGATTGTATAAAGTATTATATGTATTAAAAATCCATTCTCGTGTTTGACTTATTTAATTCCGTTATTCACAAACGCGATTTAAGTTGATATTTATGTGCAAGGATTGGTTATACGTCTAAACCGATAACGATAATCACGCGATCCGATAGGAGATATCAGGCTACTGAAGTCCCGTTGCAACTTGAAATTCAATAAGCTCACTCAAATTAGTTCAATGTAGATTGAAAATAGATCATGAGGTGATCGGAAAGATTTATACCTTCGTAGGACGATTTTGGTGGAGTTACATTCACTGAATTGGAAGTATATAGTGCTAATGGTTTTTTTGTAAGAAGGATGGTAAACCTTTAAGCTTAGACCATAAAGCTCAACAGATTTAACGCATAATAATGTTTCCAGTCGTATCGAATTTTGAATAACTTTAATTTGTAGTAGTTTTGGATAATCCTGTTAATGTTTTTGACTGAATTTTGATCAGTCTTAATCAGCATATGTGAATATTGTGCAAATTGTTTCGATATATCAATTTTCATAAGTGAAACTCATTAGCTAAGTGGATAACGCGTTAGATATTTGAAGTCAAAGGTACAGGGTTTGAATCTCGGGGTAAATATTAATTTATACCTAGGCACATTCAGATGAAGGGTCCCAGATGTGACGAAATGCGCGTTCTGGATATCACTCCTAGTCATATTCCATTTATTTTGAATGAATATTTTAGTTGGTGAATGTTTAATAAATATATCCTGTTATTCACTTGTTTCATAATTTAGTATAAATGAGTAGTGATTGACGGTATACACTTCGATAACCATATCGGAAAATCCTTATCACAGTTTGTCATTATTAAACACAGGTATCACAATCTCAATAGCGAATTAAACAATAGATCAGCTGCACACAAAATAACAATACATTTAGCCAGAAGTGTATTATGGGTGAACTAGAAAAAGTTTTCAGATATATCGAATGTAAAACAGTGTCATGTTTGACTGATCTTTTAAAAACTAAACAAATTATATTGATCAAGTTGTAATTTGACATCATATACACTGTATTTAGGTGTCAAATGGTCGCGTACAGGAAATTCTGAACGTAAGTTTCATGCTAGTAAGCACTAGTTAAGAAAATGTAACTGTAATCTAGAGGGACACGGAGGCCAATAACTTAGTAGTAGAGCCTCAGACTATGGAGGTGGACGACTAAGTTCACTCAATATTATAGGTAGAGCATGTTGTTGAGCACCAACCAGTATGAAACCTAAGTTTGCGTTTTCCTTTCAGCTACCTTCAGTCACCTAACATTTATAATCATCTTTAATGACATCTATCAAATAATATCCACAACAGTCATATAAATTAATAAATATATTCAATATATATTTTTTAAGTTTAGGAGACATATATATATATATATATATATATATATATATATATATATATATATATATATATATATATATATATATGATTATGTACAAATTTAGTTTTTAGACATGATAATGTTTCGCTTATGTAAACCATGTCGCACATCACTGAGCATACTTCTATAACGCAAAAAAATAATGCTTCATATAACCTTGACATATTTGTCCTTTGGTTACAAAAAAAAACAGAAGAAATAAAACCAAAAAATAAAACTAAAGAAGTTAGGCTAGAAATTTGTTTACTGACCTGTATATTATATATAAAAATACCTATAATATATCATTACTCGGAACTAATATAATAAATGTATGCAAATATATATATATTTAACTAATACTTTCCAAATATCTATAATGATTATTCACAATATTAGTAAGATATTGAGCAAAATATCGTATTTTAGAAAGAACATCTAACTATGGATTAATAACAAGACAAATTTTTCATATTTTTCTTATTTAGTTGAAATAAAATGATAATAATAATAATAATATATGAGAAGTGATTAAATCAATAAAGGTAGACACTTTTGAATTAAAAGATTATAGATATTAAGTAGAAAAAAGAAAGAAAATTATTGATTTGTATGGTCAGTCAGTCAGTTGCAAATATAGATCCAGGCACATATATACATTGGTCTAGATTGCCATACCGCATTAGAACAACAAGATGAACACAGGATTTATAGAAGTAGTTAATTCAATGGTGGTAATATATATAAAGATTGCATATACAGATATAGTACGTAGAAAGATATGAAGCGATTTTAATCTCACTAAGAATCTCCAACCATTGGTTACGATAGTCATGCGGATCACAACCAACTAGTCTGCATCGACCAACATGGCTCAGACTAGAAATTAGTGACTTCAAACACTGATGCCACGTTTTGGTTTGGTCGCCTCTAAATTTCTTTCAACTATCTACAACACTAGTTAGCATTGCACGTCGTGGTAATCAGCGTTCAGGCATATGTAACACGTGGCCCAACCATTTCAGTCGATGAAGATTCACAACCTCATCAACTGATTATATATATATATATGTAATATCATTCAAGTGGAATAGTTCTTCAACACTGAAACAGATCAAATCTATTATCTACAAAAGAATCATGGACATGAAATTGAAATCTTAATGAAATTAAACTTGACTGAATCAGTTAGTCTTTTTCAACTAATATACAACATAAGAAAACGAAACATGTTAATTTAGAAATTTATTTATTTATAATCTGTCTCTTTTAATTATACAGATTGAAATCATGAGTAAATTGAAGCTAGACCACCGTGGAAAACTTGAAAGCACTGGCCGCCCGTTTCGTCCTAGTATGGGACTCCTCGGCAGTGCGCATCCACGATCCCGCACACATGACTTCAATCTGTGAAATTTCTAAGATCTCCACAAACCCCTTCTGATAATAATCATCTGCTCACTAGTGACTGACTTCAAGAGATACTCCTGGAGTTCTAGTGAGAATCCGTCACCAGTGGAGTTCAACCAGGTCTGTTATGAGATATCAGCTCACTGAAGACAATGGCATACGGTGGCGCAACTTTGTGGATTGTTTGAAGTTAGACATTAACACAATTGGATGTCTGCTCAGTGGTCTGGTTCGTTAAGCGCTTGGCGCGAGACTGATAGATCCTGGGTTCGAATATCGCGGGCTGCGGGATCGTGGATGCGCACTGATTAGAAGTTCCATACTAGGACGAAACGGTCGTCCAGTGCTTCGAGGTTCTCCATGGTGGTAAAGCTTCAACTGACTCATGATTCCAATCTGTGAAATTTCTAAAATCTCCACAAACCCCTTCTTTTAATTATGATATTGATAACAAACAAAAAAAATTGTTGTCTTCCATTTAGAAATGTAATAAATAACAATAATTTATAATTAACATTTTAAGAATTTGAATCTGTTTCATTCAGGGATGTTTTCTCATAATAATTCACTTCACTTTGCTTGTTACACCTCATGCAGGAACATGGGACATCGATTAGGATTCTCTGAACAATTCTGTTTTTAAATTTGCTTTTCAGTTGTTTCCCACTGTTATTTACTCTTTTGATGTTCGCCTTCACTTCCTTGAGCAATGTGTTCTTTGCTTTTCTTCATTCCTTTTTGCTTTGAGTATCCCAAGTTGAAGCATGTCTCATGGTGTATTTTGGTGATTTTCGCAACGTATTTGCCAACCATCTCCATTATTTTTTCTTAATTTCCTCTTCAGCTCGAAACTGATTTGTTCTCCTCCACAGTAGGTTGTTGCTGATGGTATCCGGTCAATAAGCATTGGGCATTTTTATAGACAAATGTTTACAAAAATACCTACACACTTTTGAAAATGGTTGTGCTAGTTTTTCAAGTCTCATCTCCGTACAGTAGAACTGTCTTGTCCTTCGTATTGAAAATTCTGACTTTGATATTGGTTGATAAATAGTTGTTTTGAGTTCCATATGTTCTTCAATTGTAGGAATGATGCCCAAGAATGTTGATTAATAGTGACGAGTTCCATTCATCTGATTGTTAAAAAATGATCTGTAATCTCATGATTTGGTCTGTGTACTAGCGATCTTTACGGAATTCGAACTGTTGATCTCGAATTTTGGTGTCTACTGAATTTTTCATTCGGTTCAACAACACCCTATTGAAAATGTATCCTGGTACCAATAGTGCTGTGATACATGTGTAGTTTCCACAATCGATGTGATCTTCTGTCTTTGGTATCTTGATGAGCCATCCTTTTTTCAAGTCTGTGGATTCTTGTTCATCCTCCCAAATTTTTCTGATTAGAATATAGAAAGTTTTGCAATAACTCTTTGTCTAAACTCAGTGCCGCATTATTATTATGAACCATCCATTATAGTTCATGATAACATCGCTCACTAAATTTATTAGGCCTAGTAATTAAAATTTATGATTAATTAACAAAAAGCATATATTCAATAAACTAATGAGTAATGATTGAATATTCGGAATAGAATGAGTTTATGATTTATTTAAGTTGTCTAAATTTATGTGGAAAAAGTATGATTAGAAACAAGCAATGGGAAAGAAATTTAGTTAATTTATGAGTTTGACATGAATATTTTACACAATATAAACAGTTTGTATAAATAAAACGAGGAATATAAAAGTTATGGATTAAAGCATATGTATAGCAGTCGAACCAAGACTACGCATCAGTCCATAAAGTCATCGGTTATCGAAGTGAGGTTCAGATTAATTGATCAGGGTCCACACAATTACTGTAATCAATATTCGGAGACTTACATTGTCATACAAGCATTCATTCACTGCCTACCCTCAGATCTATTTTTTTAGAAATTGCCTTATACTCTTTACTCTTTATTTTCATTCCTTCCTATCAAATAATATTGTCTATAACTAATCTGTTCTACAACTGTTGTTATTGCTAATTCTTCTACTACTTTGATGTTTGTCTTGACAAATTTTTTTCATCTCTGTGCTGATGTGATGTAGGAACATGAACCGATACGCGTATGTACCAGGTTCAATTTAGCTAATGGTTAACTGACTGACTGATTTATTTATTCAGAATATATAGTTATTTAAAATAGGCAAGGTGAGGTTATGACTATTAATAATCATGTTAGAAATGTTATTGTTTTAATCTTAAAGCTTTTACTTCCTTTACAATTATCAATAGAGACCAGATGTGTGAAATAATCAAAATATACATGAAACTAACCAATAACTAATAAATCATATCGTCGTTAACGGCTATAAAAAATCTATTCATATGTATCATGCAAATCAAGCCATACATCTGTAAAATGTAGAACAATGTTGATAGGAAGGTTGTTGACAGCTGAATATACACAAGGCTAATAAAAGCGAGAAGATTATGCATACATAGAAAATTATGTGTTTTACTCTTTAGCAATAGATGGATAATTGTCTGCTATGAAATTTATATTTTCTTATTCAGAAATTATTAAGAATAGAACTTTTAAACTTAGATTATGTAGTTGGATAATGACGTTTAACACAATTAGATCTGGAAGTTCAAACGACATTAAAGTCTATCAGTGAGTGGGCCTAAAACTGATAGTTACAACCGTACAAATTGATTATCATCGACTGCCTTACGACTGTGTGTTCTTTTCTCTAAATGTGTGAATACTTTATACAAATTACAGATAACAAAAATAAACATACTATGTTTGATGAATGTATGAACTAGCTACTCTCTATTATTAACAAGATACTTGTTCCACGTCTATTACTTTTGTTCAAAGCAACCTCGAAATTTCCTGCGAACTCAACTATAAAGCTGCTTTATATTTTCAGATTTTATATCACCTACATGACTACTTAACATTTCCGAAGCAAAAAAAATCACCAGTATCTAAATTTGTTGACAATAGTTTGAAGTAGTGATCAGACCAAGACCCAGAATTTTGTGTATAATCGGTTGCAATGTCATTCGGTCATGTGAAAACTCTATTTATGACAATATTAAATCTTTTACAAAACAAAAGCTAATGAAAGATAGGGTACAAAGAATAAACTGATTCAAATGACGGACATTCAAGAACAGTAAAGTTGACTTTTTATTCAATAGCTTCCATAAACAACGATCTTGCAGCTCATTTTATACATTATTTGGACAGATCACATAAAAGACATTCGAAACCCTAAGTTATCAATTTGTAACTTCAATTATTTGATTCTTTTGATTTCACGCTTGTGTTATTTTCAACTGATGTCGATTGCTTTCATTAATAAATGCAGGTACATATTACGTGTTTATTGAGTTGTCGGCTCACTTTTTCTCTTGTTCTTTTCTCATACAAGTTCTCCTACATATTTATCCTTAAATTCTCTCAGCACATAAGGTATCTTCAGGCTGGAGGCAAAACGGTTAAAGGCTAAATGTTGCACGGGCATGTACCATAATGAAAAATTTGCATTTAAGTAAGCAAAACAGTGTCATAATTATCTCAAAAATAAATTACCTAAATCCTAGAATTAAAATGTAATTCGTAATCAACTGTCTTTTTATACACAATGAAAATAAAAACAAAGTTTTTGTAATACATTTCAAAAGTGAAACACTAGTAATACTTACCGACACTAAAGAAGATTCAACAATGTACATAGGAGCAGAGATACCAATAATTGCAAGTGGTTGGCCAGATAAAATAGTGAAAATAATCAAAAACACTCCAACTGCTAAAAGAGTTAACGTCACAGTGTAGGAAGGATCAACTTGTGTATCTGTAATAAAAAAAGGTTAACATAAAACAATGATAAATGTATTTAAATTAAATAATAAGAAATCAGTCCATTTACATTATTTACTATTTATTTAATTTAATTGGTAGCCATTATTTGAGAGGTTAACTCTAACACTCGATACTGTAATAATTCACAAACAAGTGAAATGGATTAGACCCACAGTTAAATGCTTTAACATAAACGAAATAAATGTAATAGTAATATGATCTAAAACACTATACTAACATCTTAGAATAAAATAGAAAAAAAAACTCTATGAAGATCAACTTTTGCCAGCCTTAAACACACTGAATTACGACAACTAACTTGAAGCGATTCTAAATTATGTTTGAATAAAATCTGGTTACCGTAAATCATAGTATTTCCATATGTCATCCTTTAGTTCATTGCTCACTGTAGAGCGAAAGAAAGTAGTGACTAAATAACTCAATCTAAAATATTAGGCTTAAACAATCTCGATTATATAAGAAAATTACACATTTCAATTCGCCATCATTAAAATAACCGATCTTGAACTGATTAAAATGATTGTTTTTGGATATTACTATATTTATCACTTGCTTTTTTTTGCTAAAATAATAATTTTAGAAAGTTTTAAATATTTAAGAATAATCAAATTCTGTTGGTCAAATGGTAGAACGACCAATAGACTAATTCAATTTATTTTGTAACTGGACACAATTATTTGGGTATTGTTGTGAATGGGGAAATAAGAAGCCCAGACAACTACGAAAGCTATTTTCTTGGGACGTTATTTCATTTCATCCAAACCTTGTAAAACACTTATATTTATTATTGTCCCTATTTTATTCTACATAACATGAGCTTTCGTTCTATGTAACATTCACTGTCATACCCTTTTTTGTTCCGAAAATATTGTAATTTAAACATAATTTAAACATAACCTCTATACTGATAATTAACATGTGCTCACTAGTGACTAGCTTCGTGAGGGAATTCTCGGAGTTCTAGTGAGAAGTCGTGACCAGTGGAGCTAATCCGTGTCGGGTAGAGACAGGTATCTACCTCAGTACAATGGAAGGTGGTCGCGCAATTTCGTGGACTGGTTGATGTTAGACACTAACACCATTGGATGCCGGCTCAGTGGTCTAATGGTTAAGTGCTCAGGCGCGAAGCCAGTAGGTCCTGGGTTCGAATCCCGCGTGGTGCGGGATCGTGGATGCGCACTGCTGAGGAGTCCCACACTAGGACGAAACGGTCGTCCAGTGCTTCCAGGTTTCCGACGGTGGTCTAACATCAATTAATTCATGATCTCAACCAAAAACTTAATAATCTCCACAACCTCTATACTGATAATATTTTGCATCTTATTTTCTACCCTAATTCCCAGTTTCGGGCATAATTGTATTTTTCCAAATTATCGTACATTGTGGTCAGGATATTCACTTATTTATTCATGTACATTTTTGCACTAATCAGAATTCAGAGTATTCCAACTGTCTTGTCTTCTCTCACTTGCGTGCTTGCCAACCAATCAGGTTCTAGAATAGTTCTCTCTCTACCCCATCTCGAACTCACGCGTACTAGACTCAAGGTTGAGCCGCTCAGCCTATCGCGTCAAGGTCATAATCTAGACTAGACAGATCAAGGTCAAGTAATAACCAAGTATCGACGGGGTAAAAGCGATTCAAGGTCTTAACAGCCTTGATTTCGTAATAATAATTACTAATCACTAAGGTACATCGAATAATTTCAGTGAAACTAAATTCTCCGTTAGATATCATTTTCAAACTAAATATTTATTGTTATTGTTTGATAAATTTGTAAGTTAGCTACTGATTGAATAACCTCGTTTCAATTACATTTCTGATTATAAAACTGTACTATATAATTTCAAATGTTAAATTTATATGATTAATATTCAATGCAATCCAATTACTTTCTATTGATTATTATCATCCAATTCAGTTAACAAATTGATTTTCAATAAAATTATTATTGATTAAAGTCTCAGTTGCATAACCTACTCACTATTAATATAATTTTATAATAAGTCAATTTTTCCTTATTCCATAATTGAATGTAATTTAGAAATAAACAGAATTGAGAACTCTTTGTTGTTTTTTTGGTAACATATTCTAGTCTACATTTATATTAACTTCAAAGGGTTTTTCTCTTTGTTTTTTTCTAATCACTTTCATTGTGTCTGTCCGTTTTTTTAAAAAAAATTTTTTATTTGGCTACAGGAAATAAAAATAATTTAGAAAAAGAATTTCATTTTGGAAAGAATAATATAAAATTTCGATCAAAATGAGTACAAAAATTAATGAACATATCAAACTGTGTAGAAACTATTGAAATGTAATTTTTTTTTCCAAATAAAAAAAGGATTAAAACTATTCTCCAGTCCGTGCCTATAGGCTAATAGTTGTCAATGTCACATGTTAATATAGATTAATTTCTTTTTTCTTCTTCAAAACAAGTTAAACTATTGTCAACATCGGACAGACTCTAATTTATGGACGACTTTTGAATGAGTCTTAAGCGACCTTGAGACATATTAGCCAATCAGCAAACAGTCAGTATTGAGTAAATATATGTTGTACAAAACCAAGGGAATAAAGTGAATACAACTCTTATAAGTGGTTCAAAAACTTTTCAAGGTTAGAAAGAAGTTCAGAGGTTTTAAAATCGTAATGCATGCAGTAGAGGAAATCATCCATATGGCTACAAAATAGTCGGTCTCTGGAGTCATGATAAAGTCTCAAAAACTCTTTCAGCCTCGACCACATAGCTTGTTGAGTGCACAAAATGCTAGTTGCGGATAACGACACGATGAACATAACCAAGCCTATGTAGGAGTCCGTACGCTCTCCAAACATCCGTGTATATTGTAGTACCTGGCTGCAGCCAGTGTTACTGGTGCTTTTATTATCCAGTTCGAAATAATTGTCGTAATTTGCCCTAGTTAGGAATTATATATGGGGTTTTCATCACGAACTGACATCAGCTGTAATGCCAGAAATCTATTTCGCCAAAGTTGATGGAAGGCTATCGCGCCAAAATCCGAGATCTGTTATCTTATACCTGATTGACTCGTTCAGAAATTATAGTCTCGCCGTTTTATTTGTTATAGCCGCTCAATTATCACGTTCTGTACGAAATTCCCTGTGAACCGATAGTACGTTAGCATTAAGCACTGAAGCTGGCACCGTAACCTTGAAATCTCTAAAACGCCTCTAATTGGCTCGTCCATAAATTAGAGTCTCGCCCCAGCATCTTATAACTTTTAGAAAATCCCATTAAACGAGAATTATAATTTAGATTTTATAAACTTTGACTAAAATATGCAACAACCTATTGTGAGAGAGAACAAACCAGGTTCCATTGAAGGAAGAAATCAGAAAGAAGCGTTGGAAGTGGATAGGACACACATTGAAGAAAGCACCCAAATGCATCGCAAGGCATGCCCTCATATGTAATCCTCAAAACCAAAGGAGGAGGAGAGGAAGATTAAAGAACACATTACGCCGGGAAATGGAGACAGACATGAGAAAAATGAACAACAATTAGACAGAACTGGAAAGGAAGGCTCAGGACAGAGTAGATTGGAGAATGCTGGTCGGTAGCTTATGTTCCATTAGGAGTAACAGGCTTAAGTAAGTAAGTAACTAAAATATAATCATTTTATTGATGAAAATCAGTTTCTCAAAGATTATAGAAAGGTTTTACTTTGAATCTAAATCATATTAAGCTTTCTGAAATTAGTTTCCAACAATCTAACATTTCATTATTTCTCATTGGATGTGTTTGATATTAGATTTATTAATACTTATTGTCAAAAGATTTAATTTCTTTAAATGTTAACATTAGTCAGGCTGGTAAGAGACCATAGTAATCAAATCAATATCTAATTGAACAAAGAGTATTATCAAATTTACAAAAGGTTATTTTACGATTAAAAAAAACAACAAAGTACTTTAAAAGAGATGTAATGTTATAAATTCATAGCTACGCAGTGTTAAGTTATATCATACTTATTATTGGTGACAGTAATCATATATAAAAATTAATTTATTTAACCTCTTATCCCGATATATTTTTGAACCATAAGTTATTCAAAGCACCGTGACTGTTTTTGATTTAATAAGGAATCAAAATCTAATGTTATCACATGAATATGAAAAGAATTTGAAGGTGTTTCTTTTAATCTAGATTGGGATTTAGCTGCATGAAGTTTTTTTATTCCCAAATTACTGCCCTTCCAGATAGATTAATCAACTGTGTTAAATAAGTATCCTATCATTTCAATTAAAACTAAATGTTTAAAGTAATCAGTCCAAAAGATGTCATCAAACAATTAGAACTAACAAATTACCGTAATTTTGGTGAATTATTCGTTAACCTTGAACCCTTCAAATATATTAGAGCATTATTTTCACTAGTGACTGGGCTAATATTTAAAACAATCGTAATTGTAGTAATATAGTCCAAAAATATCTACATTATAGTATAGTATTTTATTTTTCATTTGAAACAATTCAAACTAATTTAATTAACCTATACACTGTTATATGAAATCTTCCGTAGGTAAACCATTTTTATACTAAACCTAAATGTTGATAATGAAACAAATACAAGGTGTTAATTAAAAGCAGATTGCTCTATTTGGTTGTAAGAAATACCAAACCTAGTGATGCAGAATAAGAAAAGTGATATCTTTCGACAAAACAGATGTTTTAAGCATTTGTTTATCACTTTAACTATTAAATGATAATAAGACATGAGGTTTAAGTAAATATCCTCTAGCCTAATTTCATATTTTATATAGCTAAGTGAGAGGTTTGTTTTATTATCGGTTAGCAAATTTAGTGTAACAAATTAAATGAAATCATATGAAATTGATTCTATTAAAAATTAAAATAATTTGCAACATGAAATATAAGTGAAAATTTTTTGAAGAAAAGTGAACCAATATTTAGGTTACGAAACTAAGGCAGAATAGAAGCTGATATTTGTGGACTTTTCTCATCGAACATATTAGATATTTATAAACTGTCGACGGTTAGTATCGAACTTACTTCTCAAGCTGGTTAGCATCAACAAGGAGAGTGTATCTGTAATATTATGGGAACATCTGCATATTCAAGATATTCGCAACAACGTCGTCCAGTAAATAAGCCACACAGTCTACTACTTGGCTATTCAGGCCTTTTAATATTGTTCATTTCAAACTACTCAAAGTGGATTTTAAAGAAGTGAAGATTTACTGAATTCCTTTAAGTAGAACAACAGAATATAACGTATTCTTGATGTGTTATCAGTTTCCTGAGAATTTTATTTCAAACTAGTTGCGTTTTCAGACTATAAAGTAATTATAGCTAGCGAAATTTCTTTTTGATGTTAAACTGACAGATGGTTTCTTAAACAGCGACTAAGGTTTTATGTAAACCCTAATATCTGAAAACCCAGATAAACGCCTTACAAAGTGCACATTATTACTGCTAGCTAAACTTATGTTAAGTATATAAATAAGAGAATCTTATCATCAAAAGATAACTTAAAGAATAAGACAATATGAAATATTCTAACTTTAGACTATTGCAACTTTCCGTAAGCTTTCACTAAGATCAAATATAGAGGAAAGTTTTTTTCTTTTTATTGTAAGGTGGTCTCAAGTGATAACCACTCTTTGATTATGGACAATAAATCAATATCATAACACTTTGAGTTTACAACACTTACAAGAAAATTCATTTGAAAGCAACAAACCATAAAATAATTGAAATGCGTATACGCTCTTAAAGTAGTACAATATTAGCTAACCATAAATTTAGTAAAATTCAGAAAAGTAAGTTAGTCATTGGTTTGATACTAAAAGCAACTAACAACACTAAGAATAGTTAATTTTATGAAAATAAGGTGGACAGCATTTCGTCATAAAAATCGCAGAGACATTTTCAAGTGTTTAAGTTGAAATACACTCAGTTGTCACGTAACATCACGTTCGCAACCCTTAGTGTTTTTTTTTGTAGTTTAACTTTATTAGTAAAATTCAGGAAATAATCATTGGAAACACAGAAAAATATTCATATACACGTTATAATTAGTATTAATAATCTTTTACTAACATTTACATATATATGGCAGTCCTACATCACTGAAGTTGCGAGTATAATCGTTGAAGTATGTTAGAAATTGCAGTAAAATATATCCTGTTCATTACAGTGATAATAACCGTAGTAGTTTATTTATATTTGTTATATTTACACTGAAGCACTGTGAAAAAGAGGAACCATTATTTAAGTGTTATCAATATAATGACATCCGATGTTCTGTATTTCTCGGAAATGTGTTTAATAAACTCAAAAACTGTGTAACAAATAAACTTGAATAGTTCACTTTCAAGTGTAGAACGGAGTCAAAACAATGTCGTATATACATTTATATTGTTTAGTCTTTGAAATTTTTAAATGTTTTCAATATTTGGTGAATAAGATACAACAGCCTTAATAACAAACAATTTATACAGGATCATTCATCTTCCGTTTTATTTAGACAGTAAAATTACTTCAAACTCTTGTCAACGTTGCGGTGTCAATTAAAGCATAACCCTTTACCAGGGGTGCAAATTATCGAAGGAATGGACTGTATTAGCATATTACATAACATGACATAGATTGGGTGTTTTATTTATTTATTTATTTCTTTTCTCTTACCTTTGGTAATCGCACAATCTTATGATTTCTAGGCTTTTGGAAAATGTTCCTATGAGGATTTTTTCAGCCTGTTTACATTAATTGCCGCATTATTTAAACTTATAAATAACTTATTCATTTAAACATGTAATAGATGCAAAAAAGTTTATTTATAAAATAAATTAAATGAAATAGAGTTACGATTATTCAATAGTCAAACTTACTTAATAATGCAGCGAATGTAATAGACGGTGAAAGATTGACAAAGTAGATAAATAGAACACTGCCAAAAACAATGCTAAAATTCTCTTTTCTTACTGCATCTTTATAATCACCTGGCATTCGTTTTATCCATGGTCGAATTCCACGTGATAATTCAATAAATGGTGGACAAAAATCCCGTAAAAATATTTTTCGTCTAGATATTTTAGGTGTATCAGTTTCATTTGTTGGAACAGGTAGTTTATCACTATCTTGTTTAATGATATTATCAGCTTGTTGTTTCAAATTAAGTGAAGATGGAACATATGAACCATTGACTAAATTGTTTTGTGATTGTTCAGTCAACTTTCTCACTGTAAATGAACCTGTATACAAGAAAGTTAGGTTTCATGCTGGAAATTAATTTTTTTAATATTATTGATTAATTCGATAAGAATGAAACGTTATTTTATTTGCTTTAAGAAAAATTAGTTGCCATAATGTTTATAATGGTAGCTGACTAATAATCATTAATTTTGGTGATATATATTTTGTTGATGGGTTTTAACAAAAGTTAATCAGTTTAAAGGAGGAATGAATATTTTACTTGGAATACTACTTGACTAGTTACATCAACATTTCATTACTTAACTGTATAATAATATTTTATTCAATCTAAATATGTAATAATAGCTAAATAAACAGGAATTCTAACTGGACACAAAATCAGATGCCATTAGATTAGCACCAGTTGTTGAATCATTGAGTCTCATCAAATGGGACCGGGTAACTATTTTATTCTAGTTTTATTCACCTATAGTTCTGGCAATTCCGGAAATCAGGATTTTTGCATATTTTATCAAGCACATAACATTTAAACTGCTGGTTTCCAAATCGAAATTTTTTTTTCATATTTCCAACTTTTAATCTACAATTAACTTTCATTGTGATGAAATATCATCAACGATACCTGTCTGATTGAACTCCATCTAATTTATCTTAATATCACTTTTATCAATAATCAATCAGTTTTACTTAAAGGGAATATACTTTTTTTGGAGGGGAGAGGGGCGGGGGAAATGAGGAAATTTTACATAAATTTATAACATATAAATACATTTATTCTTATGTTTCTGAATATCTCCCATAGATTATTTCGAAACATGAAAAATGCATTGTTGATTATAACAAGAAATTTATTTCATGTAATCAAGACAAAAACAAACAAACAAATAAACCAGTATTGATAATTGTACATATAGATTTATTGTTTTTTTTCTAAATTTCAAAAGAAAGTTGAAAATCGAAAGGATATATATTTACGGAAATATGAGGGTACAACCGAGTAAAAGTTTACATAGAGGTGAAATGTAGATTATCAAATAGAGATAATGAACAATGAATACAGTCAATATATATATATATAAAGGATGCATAGAAGTGTATGGAAAATATAAACGAGGTAAACAAATATGAAATTTCCAAATAATATGATAATAAGTTAGTTAATCATTATCACATTCTTCGTTTATCTAAAAACAAATGGATGTAATAAAAGGGAAAAAGAATACAAGAGCTAGGAGAAAAAAAAAGGAAATTCTTTCAATCGATAAGTTTATTTATTCCATTGTGTTCATATAAAATGTAAGTTTTTAATATAAAATTTAATAAAAAAAACCCACTTCATATGATCCGATTACACATAATAATTAGTCAGATACTGCTTTCCAGCATCCAATAATTTCTACTCTCACTGCTTTATAAATATCACGATAGCAAAACAATCAATTGCAGGCGACGAATACTAATCCACTGATAAGATTGGGTTAGAATTAAGCTTGATAGTCGAGTATTAATTGCATTGAAGTATGAACGGTTTATAATTGCCAAATTTTCCAATCGTTTATTTATTAACAAATTCTAATTATATTTATTTTCTTGTTTGATATGTTGTGTGCCGGCAGAAAAAAGCCTAATCTACTGGATAGTTGTCTTATTCCTCGTTACTGTTTCAATTGAATGAGAAGTATCTCAAGTTAATAATTAGATTTCATGGGTTTCTATTACTTATTTATATCATATAATTGGATAGTATCTATCAATTAAACATTCTTTTTTTTTAAACGTGAACAATCAGAAATTCACACAGTAAATCATAAAATTTCACTGCATGATATTCATTTAACTTGCAGATTCTCTTTAGCTCGTTACAAACTAAATATAGTAGTATCGTTTGTTAAAGATAAATTTAAAGACTTTTGATTATGTTTACAGATATATTTTGATCAACGTTGGAGATATAAAAGAAATAGATCGGTAATAAAGCATAACATATAAACTAATCTCAAGAAATTTTAATATTCCCTATCGTTCATTTGTTAAATCTAGGTGTAATATACTAGAAACAAAAAGTCAGAAGGATATAAATACAATAGGTTTCTAATATGGACAATTAATGTCACGCATAGAACAATATTTAGTTCAAAAAAAACTGCTCAGCGAGCTTAAGTGAATAAAGATTAGAAAGTCAGCAAGTAAGAGGAAAAGAATATAAAGGAAGAAAATAAATAGTCTTAAGCAAATTATATTTAACAGGCAACAAGATTAAGGTCAATAATTAAATTTATAATATTGTATTTTCTTCTGTCATTCATAATATTTTTCCTCCTTTTTTTTTCTCTGGGCTTGTTTCACTCAATCTTATTAATTATTCTCTTTTGTGGTTGATGCCATTTACCTCATGACATTAATTTTCCTTGACTATAAACCTGTCATTGTGCATCTATGAATTTTCTCTTTTAATCTTGTTAGACAGTTAATCTGTACATAATCACTGAAATAAACAATTTGGACAGAGTTGTATAGTGGCTAATGATAGAATCCAGGACGCTTATTTCTCCCTATTTAAACTCGTCAGTTGAATGTACTGGCACCTCAGTTCTGATGTTTGAATCGGAAATGAGACCTAAGATCTATTGTTTCAAACGCTTAAGGTATTATTCACCTAGCTACTAAGTTCAGTTAGTCGCTAATTTATACAACAGGGATTCTATTGCTAGACCTTATTTGACTCTGCTTAGAATGCTTGGAAATCAAGGCAATTCAGACAGAATATATGTGTGGCAAGAGAAAATGAACAACTGCAGACTTTGACATTAACAATATGAAGATCCGAAGAACCTTTGAATTCTATATTTGTTAGTTTAATACTAACTAACAATCCTCACGAATACTTTTCTGTCAGCATGACATAAAGTATGTATATCTGTATTTTCAAAACAATATTTATCGTTTTAAGGCTGTAAGTGGCTGAAAATAATCCATGATATAAATATATCATTTTTCTTCCTTTCAGATTTACTGATCTCATTTAACAAATATAAAGATAATGTAAAACTATTACATTATTGAAAATTTAACAGCATTGTTCACTGTATGAACAAATTTCTATGCTTTGATACATAACGTTGATATAGAAATAGTAAGCATTTGAATAGAAAAAAAATACTAATCCAATAACAAGGAGTAATACTGTTCAGAATAAACAATATAAACAACATTCCAGTATGCATCAAACGTTAATTTTTATTGTAACTCGCATAGTATTTATCGATCTATTTGGCGACAAGTTACAGCACAGTAAGCAAAAATTAGTGGTAGCAGAAAAAGAAAACAAAGTTAATAATAAAAAAAAAGAGATATTAAACTTAAGAAGTGAAAAATTATAAGAAAACAAATGAAACTAAAGTACAAGAGAAAAAAAACTGAATGATATAATCTTCAGAATAAGGAGATCTATAAAAAAAGTTAAGTTACTCAATTAGGTATTACGATTAGTTTGGTGGTCAATCAAAGTGTAATAACTTGATGAACATGTTTTAATGTAGTCTACCTAAATTTGTTCGTATTCTACTTGCACCATAGTAAGAATAATATATCAACGTAAAGGATATGTAAATATGGACATATTATTCTTATCTGAAAGTTTGAATTGTAAGTTAAAATAAGTTTTGTCTATTGTTCAATTCTTTGACGACAATTTTCCGAAATTATTCATTCACACTCGAAACATTTTTTTGTTGTTGTTGATATAGACATTTACTGTACAAATGAAAATTCCCTTTTTTCTTTTTAAAAAAAAAATTTTATTTCTAATTTCATCCGGATTTTACATTTGAGTGAGTTTGAAAATGAAATTTACTTACTAAAATTCAAAGAAATTCAAATTAGCTATAACTATCATGGTAAATTATATCTTTGATTTCATACTTTTCTTTCTCTTTTTTATTTGCAGAAAGACTCATGATCACTTTGAACTCACTGCCAATGATTGTTGATATTTTCCATTGTAGTTTTTGATCATAATTTTTAGCTTTCAAAGTATAGAATTTATGAGTTTCTTAAAAACTGTCAGTGATAATCTCAATAAAGTCAGTAAATGATATTCAGAACATGGTTTCGTTTCTTTTTAACTGACTGTCTACAAAAGAATTCTAATGAATATTTCCAATACGGTTATTCTAAAACAGTCAGTAGATTTTATATCTCATAAGACTGCATCTTAATCAAGTTGAGTAGACGACAAAATTTATCTCATCGGTGCGATATCAGAATTTCAGTTTTCTGAATGAACATAGTAAGAAAACGTTGATATCTCTTGGAGTCTAAATACACACTGAAAACAATTATCAACAGATTTGAAGATTATTAATCTAATTGGAATTTAGAATTTCTACCACTTAGCTCACAGAGAGTAAACCATCAGAGAAAATCGGTTTATTTTGACCAATATCTTTGTCTATATTTCTCCATATATATGTAGTATTCTGCTTGTCCTAATGCCTAAGAAAACATTCAGCTAATGGCTAATAAAAACTGACCAAGTTAGCTTACATACCACAATGACTTTAGCTAGACGACTATTGAAGATTATGCATCATTGAACAGATACTTCGTCCTAGTTTTTGACTCCACATCAGTACGTACGTGTAACATTTCCAGGAATCTAATATAAAACCATCAGTTTTCAAGGAAAGAACACTACTTTTAGATCACTGAGCACAGATTTCACCAAGAGATCAAACAAACCTGTGGGTCAACCCAGATGATGAATTCAAAACACATGTTAAACAACTGCTCAATGTTTCTTGATTGTTAATAGTTATGTAGCTTAAGTCAGTTTGTGATGTAAATTAACTTTTTATAAAGTAAAAAAAATGATCATACAAGTTAATTATTATTACAAATACACTAAATAAACACGTAAGCTAATTAGGTTTACTCGAATAAAATAACAGTATAATTACTGTTGATTCATCTTATAAATCTTCATAATGATGAACTACACATTACTTATTTAGACAACATTAACGATTATTTAAGTTCATGAATAGTGTTAAAATATTATAAAATAATTTATAAATTATTCATACCTTTTGGTCGTCGATCACCATCTCTTTCACAAACTGTTTCTTTTCTATATGCTTCAATTTGACGTGTCATTCCAGCTAGAGCATTAGCATTATAATGACGTGAAAGTGGCATAACAAATGAATCTTGCATAAAATTATCAATTCCTTTAATAATATCATCAACTGAAATTGAGTCGTAAACACATAACCGAAATGTCTGTGTTAAAGGTAAATTTAAAACAAACAGAATATGAATTTAAAGGAGTGTAAAATAAGTGGAAAAAATAAACAGTGCTTCCAAATTTTTAGTGGTGGTCTAGCTTAGATCGACTAGTACTTTCAACTGTTATAAACTAATTTGTTTAGCTTGAGGCAATTTGCATTACACAACGTTTGAAAACTACCGTCAATCTTTTGTAGTTTTTATCTTGTTGCACAGTCTGATGATGTATATACTGAGTCTTATACTTACAAGTTCATAGTATGTTTACAGAAGTTACTCGGACGTAGTCCTGAAAACCAACAACTAGAAATAAAAAACCCTTATAATTTACTTCGTACCTGTTTCACAGATTAGTTGGAGTTTGAAGTGAAAGGTACTAAGTTTGAGTGTCAGTGTGAACATCAACAATGTCATAAACTTTATTTCACCTAGGTCCCTCAAGTATAGTAAAATATTAGTCTTGTTATGCCCTGCTAGTTACAATGCAAATGTTGTCAGTTATAATTTTAGGATTGTTGAAAATATAAAGCATTCCTGAAAAATATAGTATCAAATACCATGCTGAGGTATATTTCAAAATTATGAATAGCATTTCTAGTTCAAGAGGTGTATTTCAGTGAAGTTACATTTTCCGAGCACAATATTTCGAACACGAAGTTTTCATAGTCAGTTTCGAAAAAAAACAGCAAAAACCTAAATGTTGATTCATTTAATTTAAAGGACACCACTAAAATCTACCTGTGTCTGAAAAACCAGACAACTTCAAAAAAATAATGAAAAGCATTTGAAGCTTCTTGAGAAAATATTAATTTCTAAAATTGTGATATGATCCTTGATGTAAGTGCTATGATAGAGTGCTTTTTATAGACGTATGTGCGCTTACTATTCTCGTATTATTTAATTTAATTACTACAAATTACGCTTGGAAAAAAGGATAAATAGAAATGTTTTCTAGAAAACTTCCTTACATGAAATGAAATTGTCCAATTTAAGTTTCGTAGTTCAACAAATCATTGAACAACGAACTGTTCTTTAACAGAAACGTCAATTTCAACAGATAAAAAATATCGTAACATGTTGTTATTGATTAGTATTTAAGGTTGGACTTAATTGGTAAACACAGCACATATGATAACTAATCGTTCATTTGTAAGTTAAAGAAATCAAGCGCTAAAGGATACAGATTGAAAATCGTTGAGAGAACTAAAATTATAACAATAAATATATATATATCTCTACCGATGCTAAAAATACAGTGATATGAAGATACCTATTAGTGAGATTAAGTTTGTTTACAGATACACAGTAATCTGTTGTTTTAGTAAATAATAAAATGATTCAAATAAATGTCATCTTGCTATCATTGTCTTTTGTTATGCAATAAATATTTATGTAAATGTAATCATAAGCACATTTTTGGCTATATAAGTAATATACTTTATGGGAATAGTTCATATAATTACACTTGTTAACACATTCTGTTATTATCAGAATGTGTTTTGTGGAGATTTTTTGGAAATTTTCACAGATTGAACTCATGAGTCAGTTGAAGCTAGACCACCATTGAAAACCTGGAAGCACTGGACGGCCGTTTCGTCCTAGTATGGGACTCCTCAGCAGTGCGCATCCACGACCCCGCACCACCCAGGGCTCGAACCCAGGACCTACTGGCTTTGCGCGCGAGCACTTAACCATTAGACCACTGAGCCGGCATCCAACGGTGTTAATGTCTAACTTCAACCAATCCACGAAGTTGCGCTACCGTACACCATTGTCTTCAATGAGTTCCTATCTCACAACAGACCTGGTTGAACTCCACTGGTAACGACTTCTCACTAGAACTCCAGAAGTGTCTCCTGAAGTCAGTCACTAGTGAGCAGGTGATTGTTATTATCAGAATGTGTTTTGTGGAGATTTTTTAGAAATTTTCACAGATTGAACTCATGAGTCAGTTGATTATACATCAAAACGATTTTATCGTTAATAACCCTTTAATTCTAAGTTTATAAATATAAATATAAATAGCATAGTTAGTATTATCATACAAATAACCATAAAAGTGAGTTAGACATAATTTTGCTTCCAGATAATTTAAAACAGCATAATGCTTTATTTTAGGTAATTTATAATACAATCCAAAACTATTCTAATGAAAATTTATTGTAAATAATAAATTCTTTTGTTATCAATAATTGAGATGACAAGTGAAGTTTTTAAATGACGAATTTACGACAATGCAATATAACAATCATATTTCATGAATCGTTATCATTAGGAGAATCATTGAAAACAAAGATCACTAACAGTATTATGATTCTTGTAAGATTTGAAAACATAGTTGAAGAGAATGTTGATCTAGGATAAACCACAAAGAATTGTATAACGACGGTCTTGTATTACATTGCAGCTCCTTATTGTAGAAATATTTTTTGTGTTTAAACAGTATAAAATTCTTGAAAATTACATAATACATTAGGTGTACATTGCTGAACTTGATGGATGCTGTGCTCACGTGTCAGAAAAAAAACTCAGAAGTTTTCAGTTGTTAAACATGAATTATAAAAATGAGATCAACCCACTCAAATCCTGCATGTAAGAGAAAAAAAACTTCTAAATTTGGTTCCTTTACATCAAATGATGTCATGTTTCTTAATAAATCAGCTGATCACTTTACTTATATTCCATTATGCGTAAGAAATTACATAGCCAATTCAGTTGTTAAGCTTATGTGAATGCTTCACATGTAGTGTTAAGACGAAACATATGTTTATCTATAAATTGACTTAAAGTTTCACTAACACATTGTTATAGTCTGAAAAAGTGTTTACCACAAAAAGCCAAACAGCAGTTTCATGTACACACACTGAGTAGAGTAAACCTCAAACATAATGTATTCAGATTTTAGCTTAGATGTTTGATCTGAGTCAACAGAAGTGAAGTGGAACATTTAACCGAATGACCAAAAAACCCTTTTCATCTGTATTACCATCTGTATTAGCAAAAGAGAAACCAAATTCAAAAACAACTAATCGGAATATTAACTTACATCATTAGTCATCATTACTGCAAATATACGAGCCAATTCAGCATAATTTAATTCATCATTTTGTGGTCCAACATAAATAAATATAAAGCGTACTGGAATATCGACTTCCGAAATACATGAACGTTGAATAGTTTTGTTTAATCTTAACAGTACAAGAATTGGTGATTTTACAAATTCAATTAAACCGCAAATAACAGTACATGCTTCAGAACCAGAGGATAAGCAATTAGTTAAAGGTTGATTATATCGATGATAAGGATGTTGACATTCATTGTGAATACTAAGCGCTTTTGAAAGTGAACTTGCTCCTTGTTCTCTACTACCTAGAGAAAGCTGATATAAATGAGTAAATAGAACTAAGATAAAAAGTTTATGATTTAATCAATTAAAACATATTACTAAGAAATTATTAATAAAGATGATAATTTCCTAACAAAATATATATACCGTTTGTACTGTTAAAAAAAAGTAATTAATTCCAAAGTTGATAGGAATCGTATAATACGTATAAAATTATAATAATAAGTCATTATACACATATTATGAATACAATGACTCAAGAAACTAATCACAAATCATCATTTAAAACCCGTTATTCCATTATTAACAGCAAAGATCGCTCAGTTAAATCAAAGCATTGAGTAAAACATACAAATATGTATTATTGACATTAGATCGGTAGATTGATTAGGTAGCTATCTGTTAATATTGCAAAATCATATGTCTTCGTTAGGTTCCGACTTGTCAAAAAAGAAAAAAAAACATAATACCAACCTTATAACCAAGATCATTATATGTTACACATGACCTTTTAACTGAACATTGCTCCTGAAAAAAATTAGTGAAATGAAAACTGTTGAATTTGCACAAATATTTCTTAAAACAGAATCTATATTCATAACGATCTCAGCTGAAGAATGAATCATATCATGAAATAACAAGTGTTTATGTAATTCTGGATTTTCCGCATGTGCGATAAAACAAACACCATAATAAACCTTAATGTGCAAATACTCATAAACTGATACAATTTGATTATGAAAAGTTTATGTTTGCAGTTTATTTGAACAAATACCATTACCCAGACATTGAAATTAAATGGATAGTAATGAAAACATTCACAGAAGATAAACGTTATATATATGAAAGGAGAATGGGACTTTAATAAAAAATAATTGTGCATGCATAAAAAGGAAAATCAATAAATAGGAACTGTAAGTGATATAAAATTTGTGCACAGGCTTAAAAATTTCAAATGAGTAGGAACGTAATTTCATGTTATATTAAATTAGATAGAAAAACAGGTTTTGTGTTTCTGGTACCGTGACAACAATTTTACACAAAAAAAGATGATAGCAATTATCTGAGCATTATTAGAAAAAGTTCGTTTTAGAATATATCCCTTTATAAATACTGTGAATTAAGACAAACATTGATTTCACTTTCATGTAATAATTAGTTGAAAAGTAAAATATTTGATCAACTTTGCCAATTTTCATTTGTGTGCATATATTGTATCATGATCTATATATATTCTTTAATTGAGATTCTTATTCTAAATTTTTCTTTAAACAAAACAAATCTTTGAAAATAACTGCACCACAGAATGATGGACAGTTAAAGTGAAAAATACATTGTTGTGTAAGTTTTAATTAAAGTTATATATATGACTTTGAAGCTCATATTAGAAAAATGATTGGTTGGAGAGATATATTTATCAAAAAGATAAATAGATTGAATCATCCTTAAGCTTTAATAGCTCCTGTCGGATAAGCTACAACTGACCCTTTGCTAGAATGTTTTTCAATTGTGTCAGAATATTATTTTCAGAATATAAAATTGGGTAGGTAATTAACCGTAGCTGAAAGATATTTATATAATGATGGTTACTCTCAAAAATGTATAACTATGCCTGAGATGACAAGAGCAAAAGAAATGGAGTATGCTATGGTTGAGAAGAACGCTGTTTTTCAAAGACTTGGATTCAAGGGCAATGAAATAGATGGAATGATTGATTTCAGATTAAAGGCCGTAATATAAATGAATGCATTCATTTTTCAAGTTGATCACTCTGTATCAAACGAATTTCTTATTAAGACAATCATACGTAGATAAATTTGCGCCTTATGTTACATCCAGTCGTACCTATCAGTTAACATGAACGTGTCAAGCACATATATTGAAAGAACATAAAGTAGGATTAGTATTCAAATCTCTGACCACACAATGCAGAAGATTAGACTAACAGTTCAGTAAGTTTTCAGTAGTGATATCATAAGCCATCTGCTTTACAGTGGTTATAATGTTGATATCTCAAAGTCCCTCAAGATAATTAGTAAACAGAGAACGTCGAATTTACTACAGATCTCTGAAGCGATTGAGACAGTAAAATATAAACCAAATTTATGCATCCTATAACATTCAGTTATCAGTTGTGATTTCTCGTGGTGAAGGCATTCATAAATTCTTCTTTTTGTGACATTAATTAATAACAGTCATTTCTTATCTGGTCTTTACACAGTTGACTGATTTCATGTTAAGATTTACACAATTTTAGCATTAATATTTTATTGTTAAATAATCCGGTTTATATGTTCTTTGTTTTTGATTCTAAAGTATTCTTATATTCAACATATAAATATTCACAGGATTTAGCAATATCTTTTACAGTTCTTATCCATAAATTGCTCTTTTCTGTAAACTTTCACTGATTAGAACTTTTACGATATATTAATATAAATAATATAAGATGAATTTTTACTAATACTATTATGCTTAGAATGTGGGCAACTGATGAGAAACCGCGAATTATCATAAATTCATATTACTCTGCTACGTTAATCGCTCTTGTTTTAGTCAAATTTAGAAATCGGTAAAAAACTGTACAAAATAAATTAAATCCTTGACTTATTAAGATACAGTTATAATAAAATAAAGTGCAGATGAAATAAATGTTATCATTATCATCATCTTCAAACTAGACTAACAATATTTATTATGACATAATAATTAACAAACATAGATTCACTGGTTTTTGTGAATTTAAGTACATCGTGTTGTTTAATCTGCAGTGTTGAGCTAATTCCATTGGTAAATTTGTAGTGAGCGCACCATTCTTAATGAATTGACATGACGACACACCTTAGCTTATACTAATGAGGAAACCATTTATCTAGATCTACGTGGTATGTGATACTTGCCTGTATGGGATATGTGCAATTCCTTTCACTAATGTCAACTATCAGGGAATCCTAGTCCAGTGTAACTCACTATTGTCTAGAAGCACCGAACAGATACAAACATCTATCATTCAGCACATAGCAGTGATTGAATTATTTTGTGAAATTATAAATCAATAAATCTAGAGTGTTTTATTAATTCTTATACAATTTTAATAACTGGCAAGCATACGGTTGTCAATCAAGCAAATATACATCGAAAATGGATTGTATAATAAACCAATACAAAAATAGGTTCAGAAGTATAAAACAGTATTAAAACTGCCTACCATTAAAAAAAGAATGGAATGTAATAGTTACTAGGAAAGATCTTTTTTTTTTCTAATACAGGACATAATTTGTTACAATGAATTTAATAAAACATAACTGAAAGTAGTTATTTTGAATTCAGTTATCTCTAACTAATTATCTATACATTTCAATAATCATTTCTATATATCTTAATTAATATTTTTAATAGAGTAACAGATATGTTGTTTGATATACGCTATGTTCCTCTGATAACATGTTGTTCATATTTATTGATCTGTCTAAAATATACATAAATTGTTATTTAAACTAACAGACAATATAACGCCAACTTTGAATAAAAAGTAGATAAATTCAAGTATACTGAATAAAATCAATTTATCGATATATATAATCTTGTATCATTTACAAGATGATCAATCCAAAAGAAATACATGTCTAGTTTTTGTTGTTGTTGCATGGTGTATCAATATTGGAACATTTTGAAGTTAAGTATAGTCACAAGTCGATATGGACTAAAGGACAATTACAATATTGCAGAGCACTGAAGAGACATTTAATACTCACAATTTTTCATCATAATATATTCATACGGTATTGAATGCATGTTCATGAGGTTTTGTCATGAACCCATTCTCTATAATCTAGTAAGTTGAACTATAATGCTCCTCTATCTTATATATTGATATAATCATCTACAAGTAGTCGTCTAAATTACAGCACAGATAAAATTAATGTTATTTCTAATCAAAATGGGTTTTGTGATGATTTTTAGAAATTTCAATGGTTGAAATCATGAGTCAACTGAAGCTACACCACCATGAAAAACCTCGAAGCACTGAACGGCCGTTTCGTACTAGTACGGGACTCCTCAACAGTGCGCATCCACGATCTCGCACCCCGCGAGATCCGAACCCAAGACCTATCAATCTCGCGACAGGCGCTATTTAATTTCTCTGTAGAACTTCAATAATTTATAGAGTATACTCATTAGAGGGTACGCTCTCGTGCACACTTGTAAACTTGCGTCCTCTTGTATTTTATAATTCATTATTTATTATTTCATGATAAATATGTTCTTGATACATAAATTTGACAAGTTGTTTTAATCAACAACAAATAAATTGTCTAACAAAATTTACAATGGAATAATTAAATATCATTTAGCATTTATTTAACTACATTATACGGAAGCATTAATTATCATTTTACTGACACATAAAAATGGATATTAAAACTAAAACATGATCAAGTAATCACTAATTAGTTGTATAATTATGAATAGTTAAACCAAATTGTATAGACACATTTTTTTTCTTCAAAAAAAAAATTAAACGTCCTATATTTTTAGCAATTGTTAGCATTAGACTTGTATATAATACACTAAATACCCACCTTTGGTTTAAAATCATTCGTTGAAACAGATGCTCTTGTCATAGAAATATGCTTCTATAGAATAAAGAAGGTGATTTGATGATTATAAGAAGAAATTAATGAAAATAATTTATTAGTAGTTGGTTATTTATTTTGAAGATAATATAGAATAAAGATAATGGAAAATAGATTTAGCTTTATATTTAATCTTGTATAATAATTGGGTGTATTTTGTTTTCTATAGGACTAAAGGGTGTGTTTATTTTATTTTTCAAGATATTAACCTGATATATGCCTATTATGATGATATTGGTATCCTAGATAGAAGGCAAAAAGTCCTTAAACATGTAATACAACTGTGATGAAATAGTACGCGTATTTATTGATAGTTCAAAGTGAATATAAGAGTTTACAAACGGCATTAAGATTAACACTCCAAATTATGTTTAAATAATTAACGAGATTTATGCGCAATATTGGTGTTATTTAGTTTCGTTACTTTTGTTCTAATTATTTAGTTTTGTTCATCATGATAATAACAGTAATAAGTAGTACTGCTTTTTTATTACTACTGAAGTTCTTTAACTTGTAACTCTATGAATCATGAGAAGGAAATGTCTGGGTTTTTGCTATAACCTTTGACTAGTCGGTAATACTTTCAGGATTAATTTCTTGAAAGATCTCACTGATAGAAGAGAAAGCATATTGGCAGTTGATAACATGAGAATCTTTTATACTACAGTAATTCACTTACATACGAATATGTTGGCCTGATTTATCTGAAATATTATAATATTATAATTGGGCTCCATTTATATATGAAAATTGAAAGATGTTTTCAAGAAACTATCTCCTATAAAGGAATAATTTAGCAGCAATAGGCAGTAGAAAACTGGATGCTAAAAATAATTGAAATTTGACCTTAGAAACAACGTAACCTACTTTTGCATCACGCAATGCTAATTAATTTAACCTTTTAAAGATTATTCCTAATGTCAATGACTAGTTAATTCGTTCCTACTAGAAACAGCACACTGATATACCCGGGATGATGTTTCGGTTTTGAGAACATTGATTGAATAAAGTGTCTCTAAATACTTCAAGATAGTTGTAAAACGATACATAAAGAATATCATAGAAATGGTCGTGTTTGAAAAAAATAGACAAATAAATCAAAAAATAAAAGCAACACATGTCTTCACCCCAACTTAGAATATTTTTGTCAATAAAATGAAACTATAACCCACCTTAGCTCCAATCGCTGCCACAGATGCTCTTTGTAAAAAGGCTGGTTTCTAGATTGTGCAAAAAGAAGTGTACTGTTTAATTACAACACATGAGTAACAAAGAGAATAAGTTCATTTGGGTTATATTAACCACTGACAGTTGATAATAAATTGTTTACAAAGGTTTACTTTCTGTTTATACGAATAAGTGTATTTGTAGTCACTTGAAATAGATGCCTCGTTTATATTAATCTTAACATGAAAACAATACGAGACATTTTAATCTATAATCTTAATATGTTAATCAAGTATTTGACAATAGAAATAAATAACAATTATCTTAAAATTGAATAAGAATCAATAATGTGACACGAAGAGATTAGATAACTTACTGATCTTTTCAACTTTATTTCCCTACCTCCTAATCAAACATGAAATTTGATATAACTATAATGACCAATCTAGAATATTTACAGAAATATAGATCAATCCAAAGAGAAAATTTTAAAAGTAATGAATTTGGAATCATAATAATAAATTCCTACTATTAACAAAGCAGATTTTGAAATAATTCACAGAAATGTGACTGTGGTTGTCATACAAATTCAACTACATCTATAGGGATTCCATTAGTCAAAGTTTGATACATAGTTTAGGTTTAGCGATTAGCGAACTTTGCAAACACTTCTAAGTTTCGTATGCTAAAACTCCGCCTATAGCTCTCCTAGAGTAACTGCCGGTCCCAAGCGCGGATAAAAAAACGCCAACTGTAAAAAATAAGTCAAACCACTTAAACTCTTCCCTGGTAGTTAGAAGGTCTTCATTTAGAAGAATTATGACGATTCATAGTGAAAGACGAGTTCCTTCGGAAGCCACGAGACCGATGCTCCTTCTAACAACCAGAGCAACAATTTTTGTAGGTACATAGAACGTCCGAACAATGTGAGAGACCGGGAAGACCAGTCAAATAGCAATGGAAATGAGGAGATACAAATTGGCAGTACTGGCAATCAGCGAAACCCATTGGACCCAAGCTGGACAACAAAGGCAAAATACGGAAGAGATGCTGCTATACTCCAATCACAAGGAGGAAAATGCTCCACACACTCAGGGAGTTGCTCTTATGCTGTCCAAAATAGCACGAAATGTACTTGTAGGATGGGAATCTCATGGACCCACAATCGTCAAAGCATCATCCAAACCAAAGAATGAGGGGATCACAATGAATATTATCCAATGTTATGCACCCACCGATGATAGCAACGACGACATTAAAGATCAATTCTACGAGCGGCTGCAATCAATCATAGAGAAATGCCCAAGAAAGGACCTCACCATTCTAATGGGAGATCTAAATGCCAAAGTCAGAATAGACAACACTGGGTATGAATATATCATGGGACGACATGCATTGACTGGGAGAGAGAAACGAAATTGGAGAAAGATTTGCAAATCTGTGTGCATTCAACACATTGGTCATAGGCGGCACAATATTTTCACACAAACGTATACACAAAGATACATGGATCTCACCGGACCACACTACAGAGAACCAGATAGATCATATATGCATCAATGAAAAATTCCTTAGGACAATGGAAGATGTGAGAGCCAGGAGAGAAGCTGATATAGCCGGTCAAAGAAAGAGAAGGCAGGCCAATCACTGAAATTCAACAACAGCTGAATAGATGGGTAGAATACTTCGAGGAACTCCTGAATAGACAGGCCCCAATGAATCCACCGGACATTGAAACAGCACACTCAGATCTTCCTATAGACGATTTGGACTTCTCAGATAACCTAACCCTCCTATCCCATACACACGAACAAATGCAGATAAAGACAGCCAGTGTAGCAGCAGACTCCGCATCAAAAGGCCTCAATATACACAAAGGGAAAACCAAGGTCCTCAAATTCAAAACGGAGAACAGCAATCCAATCACTCTCGGTGGCGAAACTCTGGAAGATGTAGAATCCTTCACATATCTGGGAAGCGTCATCGATGAACAACGAGGATCGGATGCAGACGTAAAGGCGAGGATTGGAAAAGCAAGGGTCGCATTCCTACAATTGAACAACATATGGAACTCAAAACAACTGTCAACCAATATCAAAGGGAAAATCTTCAATACGAGCGTCAAGGCGGTTCTACTGTACTCAGCTGAAACTTGGAGAACTACAACAACCACAATCAAGAAGGTACAAGTATTTATAAATAGCTGTCTTCGCAAGATACTCAACATCCATTGACCGGATACCATCAGCAACAGCCTTCTGTGGGAGAGAACAAACCAACTTCCAGCTGAAGAAGAAATTAGGAAAAGACGATGGAAATGGATAGGACATACACTACGCAAATCATCAAACTGCATCACGAGGCAAGCCCTGACTTGAAATCCTGAAGGGAAGTGGAAAAGAGGAAGGCCAAAGAACACATTACGTCGGGAAATAGAAGCAGATATGGAAAAGACGAATAAGAACTGGAAAGGATTGCCCAGGACAGGGTTGGATGGAGAATGCTGGTGAGCGGCCTATACTCCTCCACGAGGAGCAACAGGCGTAAGTAAGTAAGTCTCTATGCTAAGATATTAATTCACCTTGACCAAAGTCATAGCTGTCGATCTAATCTGTAAAGTTTGATGTCCTAAGTTAAAGCTTAGTAATCATCTCTAGATTTATTGACTTATTATTTCCAAACTTGAAACTATAGCAAATTTATATACCTGCGTATCTCATGAGGGCTGGTATAAGTGTGGTAGACAAGATTATTCTACATGAAGTCAGAATCAGTATGGTATGTACACTAAGCTATCCTCATAATAGTTCTTTATAAAAAAGTTGAGTAGATGAATTTTTAATGCGGAAAATTCTATTTTGTGTCTGTTAAAATTTCCGAATAGGATACTAAAAGTCCTCTTTTAGCAAATGGTTGATACTGCCGAAGAATTAATGTGATCTAAGGACACTACTTAGTTTTCAGTCAATTCGCTGAATCAATCATTCTTATTTTATGTTTCCATTGGTATATTCCGGTTAAAACTTAATTGGTCAATATGAGTCTAAATTTGTTGATTTGAACACACCATATGCATGAAGATAAGACAACTTGCACTTATTAGTAGAATTAAGATGATGCAGAAGAAAACAATAAGCAACTTGCCCATAGTATAATTCCAAAGAATGAAGATGATAGTATCAAATTTTAACATGTTGCTAAAATGTAATTTTTAAAGCAAGGTCATGAAAACTAATAAATCTGGTTTTCCAAATCGGTATCAAGCTTAAAATTAAGAACAATAAAAATTATTTCGTAGGTTAATCATGTCTTTTGCTTAAGCTGTAGGGTGAAACTTTAATTTGGTCAAGCTAGTTTGAACTTGAACCTTTTATGTACTGCTGATAAGTGTGATAATGCATTACCACTTTATTTATTTTTTTTACATTGAAACTATTAATTCAAGAAGAATCAAAGATATATAAAAATAATGAATTTCAAGTCACGGGGCAGTGAGAGTAAGTTAAAATAATGATAACTGAATAAATATTGAGTATAATATTTTCAAACATTATGCTTTGTCGTTGTGTACAACATGTTGCGAGAAAAAAGTGTTTAACATTTAGGTGCACACGTGAGTTTCCGGTAATAATCAAATGTATGAGGACATTATTGATTTTAGAAAATAGTGGCCTAAGCTGTTAACAAACAACAATGGTTAATCCGTTTAAAACTTTGAAGAGAATACTCAAATTAGTAACATATAACCTAGGACTTTGTGGGTAGTCCAAAACATAAAAAAATACAAATAATAATGCTTATACATGGTTTGCTAGTGATCTCCAGCTATGTCAAATCTATTCTTCGCCATCTAGAAAGACAATCAATGCCTTCCTAATTAAATCAATTAACACAGAGAATATAAAACTTTCAAAAACACATATTATTGAATGAAACGATTATTGTGTTCATTAAGCTAAATAACAGTCTTGACAACAGAAAAAACAAGTCTTTGTTTTTCCCTGGTAATTTTGAATCACATTGGCGAATAACATCTAAATATGTCAAGACAAACCAAAACGTTATAGTGACGGTAACAGACGATGAATATTGGAAACGAATTTTGTCAAATAGTTTAAAAGATTACGACTCAACACTGATACATCGCGACACTTAATTGGGAAGAATGAGCCATTTTTGTCAAACATATGCAACTCGTTATTTAAGTAAAAGTAGTATTAAATATCACTATCACGAGAAAATGTAGTTCGCTACAAATGGTCGTCTGTGACAATTCATTCACCTAGTAATTCAGCCATACATAACGTAAAACATGGGACGTATATGTATGTTCCCAAGTTCCTACACCATCATAATACAGTGTGGTAAAGTTACCAAAACAAATACCAGAGTAGAAGAGGTAGTAACAGCATCAGTGGGAGCAGAAAATGCTGGGCACAGGCAATATGATTCGTGGAGAAAGAATAAATATGTGGAGTAAAATGTTCAATATAATTCTTAAAAACTGAAGATCCGACGGAAGACTTAAAGTGATTTCATATAAACTACTAGGACCTATTCTACATCATGTCTATTCAAGTCTTCAACCATAGGTTTTGAGAATTACTCAGGCTTAAACTAGGCATTCCGGACCTGAAAACATGGCTCAGTGTGATACACAATGACTTTACTGATTATGACAAGTTTTAATTTAGTGCAGGTTTAATAACGATCTTAGGGTCATAAATCATTTTTGAAGGTTGGTTATGCTAACTGTTTACCAACTTCAAAAGACGTTTTTCGGGATTCGAGCCTAGAATCCAATGATTGTAAACAAAAACAAGAATAATGGCCCAAACTTCTTAACTGAGAGCACACAAAGCTACAACCGTAAGGCGTGTGAAAAATTGCAATGACATCATGATTATGAAGATGAAATATAAATCAAATAAGTGCGAAATAGTAATTTTTTCCTTAATTCTGTAACTTTGAAAGAGAAAATTATTCTACAAAAGAACAAAAGGAAATTGAATCCCTTCTTAGCTACATCTGAACCTATACTTAAGTTGATAAACTGAATCTGTAAAGATCGCTTTAATAATAAATATGAATCTGATTACCAAAACTAAACAAGTAGTAAACGATAAGCTGTAATCTACTAGTTCTTTAATACAATTATTTAAATATACATAATTGCAGTCAAATTGAATTCAAGTACTCAAGCAAATCAGACCAATAAAATTATTTAAGTGCACTAACAATGAATGTGTATGAATCAATTGGTGAATTTCCAACAACAACAAAAATAATCATGAAATAAATGGTTGAGTTTAGATTGAATCTGAATTAGTATGAATTGAATAAGCAAAACTACTAAAGAATATCAATTGGATCATTTCGGAAAAGAACATTGATCAATTGAACTAGTAAAACTAGTTGTGAAAAATTAAATCAATGAATTATGCAATAGATTGGATTCTTGCTATTTTCTTTACTCAATTGTTTTTTTTTTAAAAGAGATGCTGTACAAACCTTAACTTCAAATGTTAATGAAGAAATGGATGATCGAGCAGATTCCTGTACACGAAAAAAATGTAGAAATAACATTAAACAAGAAATTCAAACTTTGTAAAATGAATATTTTTTCCCTGAACCATTTTAAAATTATTTGTAGGAGGTACAATAAAAATTAACTAAAAGAAGCTTTTTTTCGTTGATATTACGTTCTAAAGGCGAAAAATCTTTTTTATCCTTATTTTATGCATAATAGTTCATACTCAGAAAGAAAATTGTTTAGTCGTTAACAAAGATGCTTGAGGTAATCAGAATATTGAAATGGTGGATAAATTTATGATGTAAACGATTCAGTCAAAATATATTGTCCCTATATATTGTGATCATTTCAAATGTATTCGCGAATGTCATAAAACATGGTCATCTATAGATGAATGTAAATCGAGGAATAGTTCTAGTATAAAACAACTAATCGATTTCGGTAATTTATTTTCACCAGAATCTTTATCCTTAAGTCAGTCAGTCAGCTACAACGTAGGATCATACCTCATTAACAGAACGAGATGAACACCGAATTCATAGAAGTAGTTAATTCAGTGGTGGTAATATATAAATTTAAACGAACTAGTTTAAAATAAAGTTAGTTGAGAAATGTATTTATATCAGAGATTATGGCAGTTCATCAGTCTAAGCCTGGTAGTGATGTTCAGAAATTGTTTGTCCAAATCCCTATTTATTCACAATCCTAATACTAGCTTTCTATCATGAAGTCATTCTGGGCATATTATTGCTTTTTCCTTGGTCTGCTTTATACTGAAGTAAATAATCACGTTTGATATCTCTCTTCTACATCTTGTTTTCATTCTTGGTTTCTTTGGATAATATAGTAACGTCATTCGACACCCGAAATTTCAGGTTAAATTATAGTGTATTTATCAATAACGCAAACGTTTTCTATCTTAACGTAGATCATTCTGTGTAAAATAATTATAAATACAATTTTACTATTAAAGTAAATGACAATATTGAAAAAAAACATTTCTATAGATTTAGCTTGAAAATTACTGCAAACGCACAATATTAATGATACTACTAAAAATTCGGGCAAAACATCTTTAATAAAATATATGGAGCTGTTAACTATTGATTATAGTCACTTTCATTTACAAGCATTAATGCTTGTAAATATACATTAAATTTTCGTTATTTATAGTTCAGTCACATGTATAACTACCTGAAGAACCAAAATAAATTACATTCTTTATTCATAAATATAATTGTAAGCATCAAAAGTTATCAACAAACAAAAAAATTAACTAATTATACTAAAGATTGTTCAAATTGCCCAACTCAGTGAATTGATCATCTAACTACATGGTTCAAGAATATTACTCTAACTTTGAAACAATGAAGATTTAGGGAAAAGAATTGATTCTATACTCAATTTTTCAAAAATGTAAAAATAACACTTCATTCCAATGTAAAACAATCCCAAAATCTGTATATTTATAATGATAACTACTTAAGTGATTACAATCACTTTATAAGCAAGAATCTTAATAACAGTTACTTGCTAAAGTTAAAAATTGAGGTTAGATAATCTAAAAAACCCCATTTATACTTAAATCAAAGATGGATAGTGGCTAGCAGTGGGATCCATAAAGCGCGTTTCGTCCTATTTGGGACTCGTCAACTGATTGTACTTGCATCTTAAAGTTGATGTTCAATCTGGGACTTGGACCCAGTAACATTCGCTTCAAACACCATCGCGTTATTCACTTAGCTACTGAGTCCTGATAGCCGCTTGCTTTTGCAATGGAGTGAAGTTTAAATTCATTTGCTACCGTTTACTTGAATCTTCCCACTGATGTTCGGGACTGCAATTGAGGCGAACGGTACTGGGTTCGAATCGCGGAGTGAACAACTATGGGATGCAGGTACATCGAGTTGACGAGTCCCACTTCCACTTATCTGTACAACCAATAATAAAATTTTGAAACATTTAGTCATTCACAAATGATTTGAAGTATGTTGGTTTCGTTTCATACTAAACACCTTCGGAAAAAAGCTATATGAGATCTAACTATCGAAAAATAATATATAAATAAAAGTTATCAAGCAGTAAGCTAAGCATAAAGAAACCTACACAAATAACATGAAGCGGAAAGCATTTTGTTAGCAATCTTGATTATTTGTTTAAATCATAGAAAACAATGGTGGTTTTATTAAACAAAAAGTGAAGAAAGAGAGGTTTTCTTGTCTTTTGCTCAATCACATTTATCAAAATTAAATACAAAGCAAGCGTTTGAATAAACACGATTCTATGGCTACTTATAGAAAAAAAAAGTGAATTCATAAAAGCCGAAATGGATAAAAAGTAGTACATACATGGAGTGTAGGATAAAGCAGTTCTTGTAATATAGAGAATTAGTGCTGTAATTAATTTAAGCAATGTGTATATTATCAGTAATAGACATTTTATAATTTTGTCATCCTGTTTTTTTTTGCTTGTCTACTTGTCTTTTACTTACCAATTTACTTTGAAAGTTTTTAAAAGTCCATTTTCCTTCGTCATTTTCATAAGCCTAGTTTTATGAAAACAGTCATATACGTGATAAATAAAAGAAAATGTTTTGCATTTCTTTTTTTTAAGGAAATATCATGAAGCCAAAGAAGCTTTTCATTTTCTGAAACTTATAACATTTCATTTAGTGAATGTAGCAGTTAACTATAAACTTTAAAAAAGTTATCATAGTTGATTAGAGTGGTTTTTGCATTACTAAATAAATTTAGATAGACAATCAATGTTATGTAAACGAAGCTAAGGATCAAAACACATTTGATGTCAAGTTATTGTGAAATATAAGGTTTTCAGGTTCAAGTATCCATGGATTTTCAAGTGCACATTAATAACGATTTTCATATCTCAATGTAATAGTTATTCATCTGTTTGCAGTGTTTAATGTTTCTCAAAGTGTTACCAGCTCTCTATATATAAGTCCTTTAATTCACTAAACATTAATTACTATTAAACCTTTAATTATGATTTCGAGCAAAATTTATTCACAGAATTTTCTGATTGAGTAAACTAATCTATCTAGATATAGTACATTCGAATTAAAACAAAGTGAACAAAATATGATACCATTCAGTTTTGCAGAGTACATATAACAATACAATAATTATAATGATAGTAATGTCGATACCATTATTAAATACTCATTAGAAATACCTTTAAATAAACATCACAGAAACATTAGTTGTGTACTGTAACTTACAGGATTGATACCTTCCGGTAAAGTTCCTTAAACGTAAAAAAAACAATCTCTTAATACTTCATATATATATATAAGTTAAAAGTAAACTGAAATCAGTGTTCAAAAAGCGAAGCTTTGTTTACAAAGTCGTTCAATATAATCTTTAGGTTTTATTTGATTTAGAAGATCAAGAGTTTTTGTATTTTGTACTTGTCTTTACATCTGTCATCACATCATGACAATAAAACTACCTATCACATATATATGTCTAAAACTATAGACTAAATTTATGTCTATGACATAGCACTGTTACTTTACAAATTTATATAGTTTCTTCATAGCATGGACTTTTCGTTATTGTATGTTATTTTTTCGTTTTTGAAAATTAATAAAATCCAGTAACCACTACTTTAAAAAGTAATATTCATTGATCGATTACCCTACTAATTAGTGATAAGCTCAAATGTCCCTCATGAGTAATACCATTTTCAGTTGATTGTTAAAATGTGTTATATTCCATGATATAAAGTAAGGTTAAATCAACTTGAAAGAATAAATTCATTAACGCCGTTGACAAAAATTACAATCTGATTACTTAAAACCCTTTAACAGTTTTGAACAATTATTATGCAAATCTATACCAGGAATTATTCTCCTTGTCTCACTCTTCACAAGTCAAAAGTTAATGAATTCATCGACTGATGACACATTTTGGACAGATTCCTGTAAGCTTTACAATGGTCACTAGTTTATAATCTAAAATACACATTCTAACTACTATAATAGTTGAAGATTCTAAGTTTCAACGGATCTCCCGAGTAATTGAATAATTGAATTAATGAAGAAATCTATATTATATTCGTTCTTCTTTTTGATAAAAAAGAATCAAACAACTGAGAACATTATCAATTAACCTGTAGATTACAAGTAATTTAGTCCTTTGAACACTAATTCCAATACAAAATGTAATTTATTATGTGAAGAAAAATATTATAGTGCAAGTCTACTTAGTTTAATATAAAAATAAACTATATTTTTCTCTTTTATAATCCTCATCGTTTCATCACTACGAACAACCTGTTACTTAACACTTGTCAGCCTATTTTTATTTGTCATCATATTGTTAAAAAAACTCAAATGCAGCTATATTTTTAAAAATCTGTGGGATAATATTTTATGCTTTAAAGCTACTTACAATATTTATTATAGACTTTTTCAATTACGAATACTTCTTTGGTCAGATATGATATTTACAAAACACTGAATCAAATAAATCAAAAAAAGTGCTTTTTAATTACCTGCCCAATACTGGTCGAATTCAGCCGCATCAGATATATGACCTTTAACTTCTGGATGCCAACGTTCAGCAAACAAAATAGCACGTAAAACATCATATTGTTCATTTCCTTGAATACAGTTTTGTGATAAAGCATATTTTGCCACTTCATCAAGGGCTTGACCAAGTGTAAGTGCATCAGTTTGTATAATTTTCAAATCTATTTTAAATGAAAATTAAGGGAAAAAATGGAGTTTATAATGAAGTAATGCAAACTTTAAATAAACTTGCCAATGACAATTTGCAACCCTCCCCCAAAATCATCCATACATTTAGAAGAATCTGTAAAAAATATAACTATTTATCTTATATACGCCTGGTACCTCTCGTGGAGGAGCATAGGCTGCAGTCAAAGATTCTTCATCCAACTCTGTCTTTGGCTCTCTTTTCCAGTTGTTATTCTTTTTATGTCTGCCTCCAATTACCGATGCAATGCGTTCCTTGTCCTTTCTTTCCTCCTTTTGCTTTCATAATTCTAAGTTGGTGCTTGCCTCGTGATGCAGTTTGATGATTTTCGCAATTTATGTAATTTCTTAACTTCCTCTTCAGCTAGAAGGTGGCTTGTTCTGTGTCGCAGCAGGCTGTTGCTGATGATATTTATTTTAGTCATTCCTATATGTTAACTACCACAAGTATGAATGCACTCATTTTATTTCTAAAAATTTAATGAGCAATTTATAATATCCTTAAGGAATTTAGGTTTAATAAAATTAATCTGTACCATCGACAACCGTTTCATCAACTTCAACTGATATTGTCCCTTGTTAAGGTAAATTGATCGTACGATCCAAATATATAAAATTATAATCATGATAAATTAACTTTTATTAGATAACAATAATAATAGTAATAACGATCACATTATTATCTATTTAATACAATATAGAATTCTGAGGACTTGATATTTCGATATATTCATTTTTGTAGACGTCACCATATATATATATATATATATATATATATATATATATATATATATATATATATATATTTATGGAATCTTCAAACGATGATGAGACGTTTTAAAATGATGTGTTATGGTCCTAAGGGCAAGAATTACTGTAGAAAATATGTGATTTTTCTCGTGCATTAGTTTTAATGAATCTCCCTCTTGTTCTGCCAGGAGTTAAATAATAAGGAACATATGGACAAAGTTGCTCATTTGTGTCCGACAAAATAAGAATCCTCAGTTTTTTCCAAAATTTTCAAATGTCTGTTCTCGACCACATTTATTATGACGTAAAAATACTCACTGCTTACTACTAATTACCAATAACGCTCTACGCAACACAGCATACTTCTTCTTCAAAATTTCTAGGAAAGATATCACGGGGCTGTATAGCTAACAAATTGTGAACAAGAATTTACAAGTGTTGAGTTAAACACTTTTCCTGTTGCATACTAAATCGAAAACTTTCATATTAACGAAACTTATGAAGATAAGAGCGGTTAGAAGAAAATTAACACTAATATAAATGGCATTTACACAAACCTCAACAATACATTTTCATATAATTTCAACAGAGGGTTAAAGTGTATACGTCTTATACTAAAGTTTAGAATTTGAAAGGATTTAGTATCAGATCAGTAAAAATAAACCATCGTTCAATGCGATTTAGTAACTCGTTCATTTAAAAAAATTGGATAGTCTAGCATAAATTTTCAATTTCACAAATATAGTGGTATATACATGTGTGAAAAGTACTTTGACAATAATTATAATATCGATATTACTTTCACATAGAAAATTTGTTTTAATTAAATTTTCATGCTCACTAAAAATCAACCAACAGTCACAATTGATTGATCACTTGGTGGTGATCAATGTCATATGTGTGAAGTCCTTCTTAGTGCAGATCGAATGCTATCGATCGAGTTGCAATGTGTCCACCAGTCTAGGTGACTCGACATTGCATGTACTATGTTGAGATTAGATGGTGGTTGGAGGTAGTCAACAGGAAACCCTGGACCCAGGTTTCTTGCTACTTGGCACTTGTCAGCAAGGTGTACCTGTAAACTTGAGGGATCGAATTCGTCAGGGAGAACCAGTTCACTCAAGATTACAGGTACACCTCACTGATGAGTGCCATGTAGCACGAAACTCGGGTCCAAGGTTTCCTGTCGACTACCTCCAACCACCATCTAATGTCAACCAACAGTTTTTTTAAAAGACCGAAATATTCAACAAATGCATGCATAACAATTGAGACATAGATCGAAAAAGTTTGTTTTAGTTATTATATTTGTTTACATATTTATTAGGTGTATTTTCTCAGTTAGATTTTGTCCTCCATTACATGAGAAACAGACATAAATTATCGGATTTAATTACAGTATTCTAATTATGTTTGTGATTAACGTTAACCATTAATTCATCTAAGAACATATGGATAAGTAGTTTGTTAAATAAGGAGAACATAGGAACTTTATGCACCCAAGTATTCCGATTTTTAATGGTACGGTAATTAAAATCATTTCGTAATAAAAAATACCCTATACAAAATACAAAGTGGTGCATAGAGGACAGCTGACAGACACATTCCAAAGTGAGGACTGAAGTCAAACAAGGCTGCTTACTCTCCTTATTGCTTTTTCATTTCGTGTTGACCAGGTCATGAAGACCTCGACATCTGAGGGGAACAGGTTTTTAACAACAATTATGTTATTATTGTCCTCATATTAATAGTGACTATCCTGCTCACTGACTCGATTCATAACCTTATGACTGTTAATAATTTTTGTGATTGGCTTATAGACTAGGTGTTATAAGCCTTGAATAAACTGAATACAAAGTTTCAAGGAATTTTCAGGTCTTCTCTGTGTCACCACTTTTCAATATTTCAACATTTTCGAAGCCGAACTTGTTTTTTGAACAACAGGACTATTTAGTAAATTTCTCCTTAGAACATTCACTTATAACATTAATCTTACTTTTGCAATTATGGAATAACATTGAATTTTGGATTAAAAACAATGAAATGTCAACAAGAATGAGATTTTTTAAATTGCTTCATAAACAGTATAAGATCTGTTTCCGTTAATAAGATTAAGAAGCTCATGTATACGAGGTCAATGAATAAATTACAGGCTCTTTTCACTCAATAAGTCAATGAATACCCCTTTAAAGCTTTAAACGACAGATATGGAGTTCAGCTATCATTGTTAACATCAAAGATCGTTCAATGTTGCATCCATCTGACGAATCGTACACAAGGCCAAAGTTGAAACTCAAATTTTACTGGTGCTTACTCAATAGTTTCTGTCACCGTTTTAAATAAAAAAATATGTGATAAAAATTTAGTTTAGCCTAGTACCATATTTTATTATCCATCAAACGCAAACTGCATACAACTAGCTTCTAATATAATTAATGGTTCAGTGGTTGAAACACTTTATTTATTATTTATTTATTTATTTATTTCAAAACATAGATATTGGTACAAGGAGGCACCAAATACATAGGCGCCACACAAATCTCATTCGATATGTGTGAGGGCTGTGATACTGCCCAGGTGCCCAAACCGAAGCAGGTAGTTTTCTTAGGGGGCCACTCCCCAAACCTTCGACCTGAAGGACTGATCCACAAGGCAATGGAGCATCGTAAGAAGATGCAGTCCCATGGCAACCGGTGACCAACAATGGATTCATACGCCATTTTTTGCTTCATGATACTGGAGCCCATGTGCACCATTGGTTTGTAATCCGGTTAAAGAGCCAGACATTCACTTTTCGTTCTCTGATTTTCGTAAACAACACCCTCGCCACGAGAAGTCATTGAGTAGGACTTCCTTGACAGAGGCTATATACGCATGGCCATGTGAGAGCATTTCGAGAGAATGAGCGGAATCCCCCCACTCTTGGCCGTACCAGGGCATTTGAGGGCGGTTGTAACACTTAAATTTCAGTGATCAAGTCTAAAAACCCATCCCATCTCATTCAATTTAGTTAAGTAAATTATTTTATTAGGTTTCACAAGAAAACCATATGACTAAATATGAATATTTTGAATGAATTAATATCTTTTGTTTTAAATTAAAGATAAAATATCCATAAAGTGAATAAAATCATATTAATATTCTAATAAAATGAAACTGTCCTTAATAAATTTACAATTGTATAAATCAACATGAACAAACTATTAATCTAAAACTGATTACATAGAAACTGATTGTAAATGATGAATAATGATGATGATGACATAATAAGAAATTCATACACTTTAATATCTATTTATCTATGATAACGTTCCACTTAATCAACTATTCATTGTTATTTTCAAAAAAAAAACAAAAGATCATTAAGCATAAATAACCAAGTGGAACGATTGAAAAATAAAACTGTATAAATTATTTTCTTTCTTTTAATTCACATCATCATGTCTTTTGATATATACATAGAAATTCGTTTTTGTTTTTTTTCTTTCTTAACTAAACAAACTACTAATGATACAACAATCATGTTAGTTAATGTCACAGTTGGCCTAGTTCATAAAACTATCATAAATTAAACAGGTATGATCTATTCAATAAAATTATAGCAATTTATAATGAATATAATTTCAATTATATATGGATTAAATAAGGTTTTCAGAAGGATAATTTATTCAATAGTATGACCATAAAAATCAGTGGATTAGGAAATAAATATTGGCATCGAATAAATCTATGTGGAATAGTAGATAAATGTCGAATTTTAAATCAGTAACTATTGTTAATGGGACCCCAGTAACTAAATTAACTGCTAAATTATCGTAATCAGTTTTACTAACCGATTTATTTTTGTTCAATTTCACATACACGACAAAATTCATTTGAATTTACAATTAACCGATAGAATTGGTCATTTATCAATCAGTACATTGAAATAAAGAATGTGATTTATTCATAATGTAATCACTGAAGTCCTTTTGAATTGAACTGAACACATAATACTCTTTTTGTGATATCTAGAAATTTTAATCATGCACCAATCAATGTTAGACCACCATTGAAAATTTGAGAGCACTGAATAGTCAAGTCATTCTAATATAGAACCTCCCAGAAGTGCTCATTTAAGATCCCGAATACGAGAATCGAACCCATAGACTTTGGTCCCGCGCGCCATTGCTTAACCTCTAGACCACTGACATCCAACGGTGTCAGTGTCTAATTTCAATCAATACACAACATTGAACGACCATCTTCCATTGTTTTTTGTGTGTGTCTGCCTCACACGGTTGTACTCCACTGATCACGGCTTCTCACTAAAACTCCAGGAATGTTCTCTCCAAGCTACTCACTAGTGAATATATTATGAAATATACAAAGAATTTGAGATTATTTTTTCATTCAAATAACGTTTAAGAGTTTTTTACGTGCATAATAACGATAATCAATTAGAAGGATATATATTATAATAAGGAGTTAGTTATTTCTACAAAATATTGGGGCTAATTGAATCTATAAATTGGTAATCCCATCATTACCAATGACGTTTTTATTCATTCATTGTATAATTAAAAGCATAATATAAATATGTTTAGTCAAATGTCTGAAAATATTGTTTCCTTATATTTTAGTTTTTCAGATCAGAAATTCCGGTGTTATTTGCTCTTAGTTCAAATAAGTGGCACTGAAATGCCAACTAATGCATTAAAAATATTTTTCATGATCATCACTACACTACTTTGTCAAATACTAAATAAATTAATGTACTAAGCAAAATCCAGATGACCGTAGCTATAAAAATCTATAAAACGTAAACATTATCCAGGATATCTTAGTAACCTTAACAAATATTGGCTAATGAAGATTTTTAAAATTCGATATGTGTAGATGGAATATCATGTTAATATGACATTTTAGTAACAGGAAAAGAAAACGTTTATCGTACGTGAACTTCAAAGTTCCATAAGAGACCACTGTCATTTCACTGCCATTTCTTTAAAGTGCAATAAATACGAAACCACCACTTAATATAAATTACCTAATAAAATTTGATAACACAAAACTCAATATTGCTATGGTGAATAAATACATACATATAGTTCTGATTTTTAGTAGTTTTAAACTATATCTGAACAAAAACATGTTTAATTTTAGATAAAATGAAATTACTGTCAGTCTAATAGAACAACAAAACCACCAAGTCGGAACTCACTAACCCTTATTTCCAACTTACAATAGTTATCGATGCATCAAAACTACCATCTAATGTCAGTAGATTAGTATATAATTTCAGCAAACAAGTAATAATTCACGAATTAGATTTTCAGTGATTTCATTAAAGACATTGAATATTATTATTCAGTGTTATTAATAACCTTCCATATTAATTTCCACTTTTTAGTAGAGAAATATCGAAATTCACACTCACATAATAGTACACTGGGATCGAACAACAACTCTGTTGTTATTAGTCTCTCAAAAACACTATTAATTTTCACACTTAGAAAATCTACAATAACACTACGTTATCGATTGATATGAATTATTTATTTCTGATAAATTATTCATATTAAGACTAACAAATCTCAATAATATTCATTCCAATGTTTTGTACAAACATTCTGTTATCTTCGACAAAATTAAATCGACGTTATCAAGTGACTACTTAAGAAAAACATTTTTTTAAAGAAAAAGAAGAAAAACAGAGAGAGAGAGTCATCTGACAAAATATTACTCTAGAAATGTTTTGTTTCTATGTGTAATGGAATGAGTCAAAAATCAATTAAACTAATTAATTCACAAGATGTCAAACACACTTAAATAATAAAATGTTACTCATTATAAACATTTAAAAAAAAAAGACAACTATATCATACAGCAAACATTAAATTTAGTGTTATTTTTATCATTGAAATCACTGTTACGTAGATTGTTTTTTTTCTTCTCCTTCATATGAACAAATCTTCATGATTGATAACAACTATACAACTCAAGAAAAATATATACGTATCGATTGTTAGTTTATGCAACAACAACGACAACAAAATAACAATATATCCTTGGAGTAAATTAAACTTATCAGCTATATATTTCTAACTTCTTTTTATATATCACCATATAAAATAATGAATCAAGGGAGGATTAGAAAAAAACTAAGATCAAGGTTTTTAAACAAAGATGGATAGTGGCTAGCAGTGGAATCTAGGAAGCGCGTTTCGTCCTATTTGGGACTCATCAACTGAATGTACTTGCATGTCAGAGTTGATGTTCACTCTGGGACTCGAACCCAGTACCGTTTGCTTCAAACGTCGTCGCGTTATTCACTTAGCTACTGAGTTCTGAAAGCCACCTCCATGTACAATGAAGTGAAGTTTAAATCCCCTTGGTGTTGTTTTACTTGAGACCAATCAATTGCAGTCCTAAATAACAATGGGAAGATACACCAAGTGAATTTAAGATGAAGGTTGATTTAAATACAAAATCAAAAAAAGGCATCACTTATTAGATGTATATAAAACCTAGTTGAAATAGTATTAAATATAGTATAATAGTAGATTAACTAAATATTAAGACTATTTGTTATAAAATATAACTATAAATACCTATTTCATATATCAGAACATTAAAAGAATGTTAAATAAATTGAATGCTTATTATATTGTGTGCCAATGATAGAGAAAACAAACAGTTACATTTTTATTAATTAAATCATTGATTTCAACCAATTTAACAAGCTGTCCACAAATGTTATTCTGTTCATAATTCATGCTATTCAGAAGAGAAATGTAAAATCTAGACTGCTTATATAAAATAGAAAACTAATTATTATAGTAGTTCGTTTAACTATATATGCTGAAAAACTTTGTAGAACATTATCATAGCTTAATTATCACGTAATGGTTAAGCACTTGTCAACGATAATTATCTACAAAATTTATAAGAAATTTATAAAATTACATTATTTAGACTGTACTTGATAACAAAACTCCGCTAGTTAAAATATTCCGTTTAGAATCAAGAGTTTATTTCATAACAATCAGATATATATATATATATATATATATATATATATATATTGATATGTAGTAAGCCCATTCATTTACTGTATTATTTATCTGCTCACTGTAATTTAGGCACTTAATTCACTATGTAAATTTCTGTGTGAGTATGATTGAGCACATGTCAATTTTTAATCTATTCTCCCATTGGTTGTAAGACACAGACAATCAATAATTTATCCATACTTGATTTACACTCATTAAATATATATAGATTTCTAACACTCACACACACACTCTTGGTTCCCCTGTGTGCTTGCTTCCTATACGATTGCGGATTTTACCAATCTTTAACAATAAACTATCTCTATAACTGATGTTCGGGCTTTTTGAATAATCTCGAGTAAATCCATAATTCTACTAGTAGATTCAGCCTGCATTAAATACTCAGTTAACGGAATACTATTTATTGGAGTCAGATATAGAAGAAAGCAGCCTCTACAGATATTTGTTTAAACTTGACGTATAAATCTGTTGGTTTTTTTTAAAAAGAAAAACTAAACGAATAGATATTTTCCCAATAAATAACCCTATCTACTAAGTGAGTTGGTCAAGACATATATATATATATATATATATATATATATATATATATATATATATACAGATTAATACAACTACTTCCATTGAGTATGATTAGTAGAAATCTAAATGTGGTAATTATGATAAAACACACAAGCTTACTAAATTTCATACTTATTCTGTATAATGGAACTGAATAAAACCTAATGTATAGATATTTTTGCCGTTATGTAAATAGTTTAGATGTCTTTAATGGTTAAATAAAATAAAATAAATATCTGTTCCAAATAGTTATCATTCCAAAAAAAATAATCTGATAATTTCAATGAGAAATTAACCATTGTGTGGATTATTTTAAAAAAATTAAATTAATATATTTGTATCAGAAAGGGTTTTGTGGAGATTTGAATAATTTAAATAATTGAGATCATAAGTCAATTCAAGCTAGACAATCATGTAAAACCTCGAAGCACTGGACGGCCGTTTCATCCTAGTGCAAGACTGCTCAGAAGTGCACATCCGCGATCCCGCCCTCCGCGAGATTCGAACTGAAGACCTATAAGTCTCGCGCGTGAGTGCCTAACCACTAGACCACTGAGCCGGCATCTAATAGTGTTAATGTCTAACTTCAACTAATCCATGAAATTGAGTGACACATCCACCATTGTCATCAATGAGTTACTATCTCATAACAGATCCGGTTGAACTCTACTGGACATTGCTTCTCAATAGAATTCCAGGAAATACCTCTTGGAGACCGTCACCAGTGAGCATACGTTGACTAATATCAGGAGGGAGGTTTGTCGACATCAAACTAATTTTAATAGTTGAGATCATGATGCCGGCTCACTGGTCTATTGGTTAAGCGCTCACGCGCGAGACTGAAAGATCCTCAGTTTGAATCTCGCAGGGGGCGGGATCGTGGATGTGCACTGCTGAGCAGTTCTATACTGGGACGAAACGGCCGCTCAGTGCTTCGAGGTTTTCCATGATTGTCTAGCTTGAGTTGATTCATGATCTCAACTATTAAAATTAATGTATTTGTATTATCTGAATAACATTAAAATTTTCTTACATCGGAATATAACGAGTATATTATTTAATTTATTGTAATAATCTAAATATATCCTGTCTACTTAATAAAAGAATATCATGATGAAAAAGAATGATATAAATAAACTGCAATAATCACAATTGATTATTAACCCATTTCCTTCACATATAGGGAAAAGAAGTTAAGGATTTTGATCTAAACACATTTGGAATGAAAGTTTCATATTCCATAGAACTCATGAAATGTAGTTTTTGTATTAATTTTATTAGATAATGTTTTTCCTGTCATTAAGGAACATACAATAAAGAATATGACAAAAAAGTTAACATTTAATTTCTTACTCTGTTGTAATTTATCCCTGAAGCTATTTATACAAGAAAACTTCATAGGTGGTACATGAGCTTCTGTAAAACGTTGTTCCACTTCATTAAAATTTTCTTCAAAATTCACCCATCTTGCTGTTTCTAACCAAAGAACTCGAAAATGAGCTGCAACTGGCATTTTAAAAATAGATTCATTGAACTGCAATCCACCATCCACCCTTGGTACCAATTCTTGAAGTTCAATAAACATTTGTGTTGGATAAGACCCAGTATGAAAACTGAGCTTGTATCCTTCTCTGTTGTCGGAACCTCCACTGTGCTCTTCCTCAACAACTATAATATAACAAAAGATAATTATGCTTAAGCAAATTATTATAGAAATGAAATATATTTCAATAATTTATTTCAGATAACTATTCAGTAACGTGCGAAAACATCCAGTTATCAAATCGTTAAAGAATAGTATTTCAAAGTTCCTCTAATTCAGTATTTCGCATAAAATAGATTAAATCACTCTTTATTTCAGACTACATAAAAAAACTATCTATAATACTTTTCATAATTCAGTAAACGGATATCTAGTTGATGAATATACATTCCATATATTCTACATAATGATGTGTAAATTAATAACTAAACTGAACTTCAGTAGCTGAAATCATGAGTCAATTGAAGCTAAACCACCATGGAAAACCTGGAAGCACTGGACTGATTGAATTCAATAGGCATTTCCATGAGTTTTAGTGAGGAGCCGTGACCATTAGAGTTCCACTAGTTCTGTTGTGAAATGTCAACTCACTGAAGACAATGGTGTACGGTGGCGCAATTTCGTGGATTAGTTGAAGTTAGATATTAACACTATTGAATATCGGCCAGCTCAGTAGTCTAATAGTTAGGCGCTCACGCGCGAGACTGATAGATCCTCAGTTCGAATCGGGATCGTGGATATGCACTGCTGAGCAGTCCCATACTAGGATGAAACAGCCGTCCAGTGCCTCGAAGTTTTCCATGATTATCTAGCTTGAATTGACTCATGATCTCAACTATTTAAATGACTAAAATCTCCACAAAACCCCTTCAGACAAACGGAACTAGTTGAGAACCAAAAACAAAAGATTTTCAGTTAATATTTAACTTGTTGAATCTTATCAAAAGCCTAAAATAAACCATAAAATATTCTTTATTATATAATGAAAAGATCTCAAATTAAACTAATTAATTATATAAATAAAAAAAAATATTTCAAATAGGATAGTGATTATTTGTTTTAGGTAGATTAGTAAAACTATTAATTGTCATGAACTTGTATTAAAAAAAAAAGAAAAAGAAAACAATCCGAATTGAGAAAAGGATAAAGTTAAAGTACAAAAAAGGATCATTTCATTTTCATTCACTTTATGGTTATTTAAGCTTATCTTTCTGGATTTCTTATTATTTATTTTTTTTACTATTTTTTTTATTTTTATTTCTTTTTGGTATTTATAATATACAATAATTAAAGAATATGGAATATATTTTTTTAGTGTACTTTTATTTAATGTAGTTAATCTAATAAGTAATAATAAATCACACCGTGATTAATAGGAAATGGGTTTTCTTTTTTTAAACTAAATGTTTTATTATATAATTTCTTATGTAATTTTATTATTAACTAATTATTGTTTTTTTTTCTTGTGTGTTTGTGTGTGTGAATTGTAGATTGGATTGTAATGTTTTGTATAAGATGTATCATACTATACATTCATTTCTTATGCGTTAGATAGAATAATGAACTATAGATAAGTATGCACAAGGAGTTTCTTTTTTTTTAAATTGTACTCTTTTCTTTGATATCCATTCTGATGACAAAATTACTAGAATAATAGCTTTTGATTATATTCAATTGGCATTGAATAACTTGATATCAGATTGGATTCCAGACTGATATATTTCTATTTGACGGGTCAAATATGAGAGATTTAGCCTGATAAATAAATATCAATTTAGTTAATATATCTTGTTTTTTATTTCTTTTTTCATTAAAATGTTTTGTCAGAAATGTTGCTAATCAACGTATAAATCATTCTAAGCACCCTATAGGTTATAAAGCACTTACTATAAACACCCACTGATCACAAATCGTATTTACATTAGATATGTAAAATCAGTTAATTTATAAAAAAGAGCATTCATTTTCGAATAAAATTGGCTGTTTGCAAGTTCTTTAATGTACATTCTTGTTTTAATATATATATATATATATATACTTTAAAATGTCCAAGTAAGATGATCTATAGTCACTCAGTTCTTCAGTTAAGTTTTATCATAAGAAGAGCAATAATTTTTCCGTGTTAATATTACCACAGAATAACTAATAACTTTAGTGTGTCATAGTCTTAATCTACTACCACTAATAATAATAACGATCGGTACCATGTTCTAAAGAATAAATTTTCAAATATTTGTAGTAAAGTAATCAACTTTCTATCTAATGAAAAACCTAAATCAATATGTCACAGGTCTACATATATGTACACAAATATACACATAATACAACATAATTAACACAATTACCATATAGAATATTATCCCTTTGCATTAACTACACTATGGTTTAATTCTTGTTAATTGATGATGTAGAGTTTTATGCTTCATAAAGTAATGGATATATATATAGTCCTTCATCTATTGACAAGGAATGATTTGTTTTAGTACAGAGCCATTCCTCACTGCTTCAATCGTAATATTGACTGCAAACAGCCTTAATGTACATGATACACACATAAACATACAGACAAACATACTCATTATGTATTATCTTGTGATTATGAAAACAGTAATAACGATAGGCTCCTCTAATAAATTATTATATGTCTAGTGTTTACAGTTAAGGCTAAAATAAAGGGGTGGGAAACCAGTACAAGTATACATTTTCGAAAAAGTATGTAATTGATATGTCTGCGCCACAACTATCACTACCAATCTCACAACGACTGAGAAGAATAAATGAAAGATTTGTTTCATTAATTTGTCTGAATCCTGACAGCTGATTCATTCATTTACATGATAATAAACATACTGTTTTTGAGAAGTTAAGATAAATCAGCAAACAGAAGAAACACTTCAATTCAACGATAATAATCATAATTTTAAACACAACAAAATATTCTTTATTATATCTCCGACCATTCCTTATCCTGTAAAGGATGCCTCTAAATTTTATCTCTAAAATCGGTTTAGTTTGTAAGTGCAAAGATACTTAAATAATAATTCCATTAATTACCGTGTTCGAAATAGACTGTCACCTTATTCCTGTAACTTGTTTTCACATGATATTTTGTTTTTACACATTAAACATTGTAACTATGACTATGATTGCATATGGTTCAATGATAAATACTCAGGAAAATCGAATCGCTAACAGAAAACCGTTCAAATAAACACATTTCAAAAGATAAAACAATCGGCTAAAGAAACTTTTACTTTTCAGTAAACAACAACACACTTGTTTAAGAGTAACTTATTTTTGGTTAATGATTTTTTATTTAATAAAAGAATGATTATTTCCAGTTTATGGTTGTCGAGATTGTTGAATTTTTATTGATATTACGAACCTATTAATGTCAGACCACCACTGAAAACCTGGACGGTCGTTACGTCCCATTATGGGACTCTTTGGCAGTATGTATCAGTCCATGATCCTGATAAGAACTAAACAAGCTCCTTGACCCTATACTAATAATTATCATGTGCTCACTGGTGACTAACATTGAGAAGTAATTTTCGGAGTTCTAGTGAGTAGATGTGACAAGTGGAGTAAAAGAATCTAGAGCAGTGACCACCAAAAAATTAGGAGTCACAATTCATTACGTATTTTAAAACAAAAACCATAGTGCTCATAAAAATACTAACGTAGAAAAAACAGAATGATGACTTCTCCAAAAGATCATATCTTCACATTGGAGACAGAAGATCGAGAAACATGAGCTCCGGAAATCATCATCTTGTCTTCAGTAAAAAAGTTAGATTTCCATATACAAAGAATCTTGAAATGTGAGCAAGACATCACAAACTTTGAAAGGTCCAAGCGACAACAAATGTTCCTCCAACGAAACTTCCATAAGAGACACTATAATGTTTCCTCCTGAATACAAGCTTTCAACTTTTATATGAGAAACCTAGTACTATCATATTTTGTCAAACCAAGGAACAAGATAGTTACACCACTGTCAGATTGACTAAGAGCAATAATGTTTTTGTTCTTAAAGGGAAGGAAAACTCCATTATGTCAGCCAGAAAGAGATCTCCTACATAAAACAATTAGTTTTTGTGCTTTAAGTAACTTTCAATAGGTGTGAAAATATAAATTCTTCTTTTACACATTGCTACAGTAGATGGAAAACAGGTGCCAGGTTCACTAGTTACTTTTATCAATATAAATGTTTATGATGTAAGGAATAATTCTAATCATTGACACTAGAGACTGTTAACTCGAATTCCCTTAGTCAGGTTAGAGATATTAGGAGGATCAGTCACAAGACGAATATTTTTATTTACCATTATCCGAAATAAAATCAGAGAAATATATTAATATTCCGATGTTCTGAAGTAATTAATTCTCACCAAGTCGTTTATCTAACGTTTTCCAACCAATGAAGAAAAATTACAAAATATTATATTATTGAATACCCACATCAAACATTTGAGGTCTGCCCAAGAAAATGAAGATTCCTATTAAAAATAAGGACATTGGTTCAACAGATAATTTTCGATACTGAATGCTTGGCCAACATTTCTAACCGACCCTATTTATAACAGCCACATGATATCCATATTTTTACCAAATATACGAACGACTGTTATCTTTTGTCATGCAAATAGGTTATGGAATATTTGTATTTTAAAAAAACGACATGTGATCAAAAGTACGGAACGGTTAATACTTTCGCATTTATAGTTAAAGAAACGAGCGATTAAAGTTGAGGGATGCTCTACCTTTTAATGTATTTGAAAATACATACAATGCTTAAAAGTCACTTCATATTATCCGTCAAAGTAACTTTGATGTTTTGATTGGAATATTAACAGTAAAATAAGGAGAATGTAATGTGGTGGAAGAAAATACAGATTTTCGACTAAAAAAATGTATAACAACGGTCGACCGTGACAATTTTCAATGAATTAACGTTTGAGAAGTTCCAAAGCTTTGAATGAATCATAGTGAGAATATCTCATTTTCATTTATATCGCACATAAGGCTTACAATTAGTTGACAGTAAAAACAGTCTTAAATCATAGTTCATATAACATCCCTTCATTCGAAATTTTTGAGTCAATTACACTGACTATTATCCAACTTACTTTAATTTATAATTTTGTATGAATAAAATCACGATTTGATTTAAGTAAATCATGTGATAATGAAAATGTGACAGGCGAGAAAGTTTTTCAAAGTAATCAAGTAAACACAGGTTATTTAGTTCAAGGGTTAAATTACTATGTTAAGCGATATCAAATCACTAAATTAAATGAAGTAGTCAACGTTAGTGAGTGTAATTTGAACGAAAACAAAAAAGAATAAGATTAACATGATAAGATAAAACGAGATTTTAAAGACCATTTTGTACTGTGTTCTCTTGGTGCACTTTAGATGAAGCAAATCACATGTCTAAAAGTTGAAAATGATTTTAAGTAGTTTCAAAGCAAATAACGTTTGTTTCACCAAGTTTTTAAGATCACTCAGTTAGTCGCAACGTAGAAAATGGTATATTTGTACATAGATTCAAGTTGCCAAACGCCGTTAGTACTGAGAGAGTAAGTTGTCAGGTCAAATCATTGAATAGTAGTGGCAGTAACGGTATCAGTTGTAATAGAAAAGATTAGACATCGAAGATACGATTCGAGAAGAAATTAGTGAAATAATAAAATAAAACAGTCATGAGGAATTTCGAATCTCGGAATTTGGAGGAATACAAAAGACGGATGCACCAGAGCCATTCCAAACGATCTTAAGCCATGTTTCTAACCACTGGTTGTGATAATCATGGGGACCCCATGAAAAAGGTCAAAAAAAGTCAAGAATGCTGATAATACAAATAAGAGTATTCCATTACTTAACATTTATTATGTTTTTTTTACCCCATTTATTGTTTCTAATGATCAAGATGAACTACATTCAGTTGATTTAAAATTACAGAGAAATGACATATATACAATAACTTGATATGACTTTATTTAGTGATTTTTTTAACTTTTCAAATTAATGTTTCGTACGGTTTAGTAAAAAATGAAATATGAATCCTAAGGAACTTTAGGAGATTAAAGAGAACTGTTCAACAACAACGATATATATATATATATATACCGACTATTAAAAGTAACGAACGAAATTATGAAATTCTATTTTCAACGCTACAAAACGATTAGAATTAAATTCAAACAATTTAAAAGATTAGATACCAGCTGAAATCTTTGAATGTTAGATGCTCATAGAACTGAGCTGAAGGTTCCGAATTTCATCACCGGTGGAGTCTTTGTACTGGTTCACTAATAAAGTGTAAACTATAAAATTCAATAATCTTCACAGACCTCTCATAGCAGTAGTTAAAATCAAGTTATTATTTCTAGTTATATATAAAGTAGTCAGTTTAAAAGTAGTTCCGCAATTATGTAGATCTCATTTCATATAAAGATTATTTTTTTTGATCAAATAATACTTAACTTATCATTCATTTAATAATTATGTTAGCATTTGTGTATGTATGAAATTTATTGAGTTTCTCTTTCTCTCCTACAATACAGCTACCTATCAATTGTCGCCATGAAAAGAAAAAAAATCAACATTGCAGTAAATAAGAAAAATTGACTAACTAAGTAACTAACTAACAGAATATCACAATTAAAATGATGGGTATTAACAACAGCTGACCTACCATATAAATCTTTGTTCATTGAGCTCCAATATTTATCTGGAACACAGATTAAATTAGATAATACTTTTACAAGTTTGTTTTTAAATTCTAAAAACAAACAAAAAAAAGTAATTATATAAGAAATTTCGAAATCACTATTCTTTACTATTGGTTAATTAGAAACATCAATGATGTGTGAAGAGAGAAAGAGAAACAAACATATTTCTATAACACACAAACAAATATTTATGAGTTCCAATGTGATAAATCAAGGTTTTTATCGTTTATTTTTTTATGAATGTATTTCATTTGTTCAGGGTGTAGTGCATTGTTGAAATCTATCGAGTCAAGTTAAACTTAATCTTATTATTTCATTAATCAAGAGAGATGGTCCAATGACACACAAAATATGACACTAACCTAAGTAGCCATTCATTGTAAAAAGTTGAACAAAAAAGAAGTTTTATGGAAATGTACGAACGTTTTTGAGATTTATCCAAACTTCAACTGAACAGATATGTTTAGTTTAGCACAGTATAACCCTCAATATAAATCTGGATTAGCTATCAACAACGTAAAACTTAATAGAAACACGCTATAGCTCATGTTAAGATAAAGCACAACATACCAGACAGAAGTTAACAGTATAGGAATCAGGGAAGTCAAAACAATAAAACTTATGACTGCGAAAATTCAAATATTAGGTATGCACTTTAAAAAGATGGGATTATATTGGAAAATATTAGTATTAAACAATAATAGGACCCGAGACTTCGAGGAATGTGAGGAACAAGCACATTTGCACATAATTAAAAAATTTAAAGCTATGTCATCTATTGTTTTAATCCTGGAGCCAGTAAATAAATAAACTGTTGTTCAACCTTGGTT